GAATAGTTGGAGAGGGACGGAAGACGTTTACTACGGAACTTGGAAAGATCCTTATGATTACTGATAAGAAAGATGGTCAGCCCTACATATATACATAGATATATAATTCATTCGCCTCGTAAGAAACTTAGATATGCAGATCTAAAAATTCTTTAACTTTGAAATGTCACGATGAATTTTACATTAATATAAAATTTTCTAAAAGCGATTACAGACTTGCTGATGATCCACAGGAGGGTAAGCGAGAGCGCGAGTGTGTACGACTGACAGTTCGCTTAGCCAGAAAACGCGAATAATCCCTCGATGTATCGAAGGTTCAGCCGATTTTTCAGGGGTTCCCGACGACAGCGCGCTCGTGCGAAAATGTGCCGAAACATTCCACGACTCAGGAAAAACAAAATGGCGTATCTCTTGCGAATTATTTCCTGGATTATTAAAATCATTAAATTCTTCTGCGAGTCATCAATTTTCGCAATTTTAATGTAAAATTTCACTCTTTTGAAGTATGCAAATTGACTGACAGCTGAACACACCGAACACAGTGTCGCTAGTGTCGACAAAGAAGTATAATCCCTGAGTGTGTACGGTGACAGTTCAGCGACGAATATGGCTAATCCATATTTTGAGTGTGTAAAGGTGCAGATCAACCTCGAATTATCGCTGACCTGACCTTCACACACTACAGGCTCATCCACGGAAGATTGATCCGAGTTCGTGCCGATTAATGGATCATCAGCAAGTCTGTAATCGCTCTAAGATATAATTCCTTAGCCGATCAGTTACTCATAAGCGTCTTTCTGTATGTTAGATTAAAATTGAAATAAATAAAGTGAATGAATGAATGTATCTACATTTGATATTGACCAATTCCTGTCGTGAAACATGTGCAAAATCAAATTTCAATCGAGGACCTCGAATATTCTAATTATGTTGTCAAAAGTATAAATGATATCCTCCCAGAATATTTTTACATTCTTTATAGTGTTAAAATTTATTGCGGAAAGGATTCCAAGAGAGCAGAAAGTGTGAGGTGAGAAAGGGTTAAAATGACAGAGAGATAGAGGAGAAAAAAGTAGACGACACTTCCAATTAGTTAATTAGAATCTGGCAACCCAATCAAGCAAAATAGAGTACTATCCATCCACTTGGAGTATCATCTAAAGTTCATGTGTAGTAGATCTGCAACTTAAGATGATATTGAAAATTTTTATGCGCTCTTCAGTATAATTTTTCCTAAGACTGTAGATTTATTATAAAAATATTCTGCACACAAAAAGATCACAGCGGGAAGCTCGAAGTAACAAAGGGGTTTTTCTTTCTCAAATATTTTTTCACTTATTCATACTTTACTTTACCAATTTTGTACAACTAGAAAGAACGTCGAAGATCGCAGCAGGATGCCCACTTCTTTTTGCTCCCTAATGCTTTTGTTGCTCGGTAGGAGTGCAATTGTTGTCGTAAATTTATTGTTGCTGCTACTTTTCTATGTATACTAATTAACAACTGGGTGTGTCGACGAAAATATATCATTGAAAATTAATTTGACAATTTAGTTCATTATAATAATTTGTGCATATTACCAATTTATAAGGGACAGTGTCGAAAAAGAATTTTTATGTCTCACGATGTTTTTATATTTTTTTTTACATTTGATTTAACTTTTTTTTTTAGTAAATTTAGGTAAAAACTACACATGTTTCTAATTATTTATAATTGTAATATACATATATGGAATAATCTTGAGTAAGGTACACAAGTTGTGACTTACAAAATCCAACATTAATTCTTGCCTTTTGACGATTGGTGACTTGCTTCAATAGCGTTTGGGCGCTAATTCAAACCGTATATTGTAAAGCGTCATTAGGCGGCCATGGTGCAGTCGGTAGAGTGTCGGACTGAAAATATCACCGTCGTGTGTTTGATTCCCATCAATTGCAAATGATCAAATATAGCAGATGCGAAAAATATTAGACCCTTCAAGAGCAAAATATAAATTCCAATCTAAATAAGATTGCTGTTAATTGTTCCAACTGAAGTAGAAACTTCTATGGAAGTGTATTTTGAATCTGTCCTTACTTATAGATGGGCACAATATCAGGCTGGTGTCGCTTGTAAATAGCGATATTATCTGCAAATACGCCCAAGGCCAAGCTCTGCTAGTCTGTGAATTTGACTGGCTGACTTGAATAGCCTTGCCTCTGAGTGGGAAAAATCAAAGGATAACTGGGGAGAGGGACGACATAAATTAAAATCAATGAAAAAGTCACAGGCCAAAGCTATACTATTTGAAAGTAACGAAGAATCTGGATGACTGGTTGGCTTTGTGTCATGGCCCTGAAGTGGGAAATTTTCCTGTGGATGCATAAAGGACCCGTCAGTTGGCCTGGATAGCCGTGGCCATAAGAGTTACCTTACGCCACCTTCACTTTCAATATAATCTAATCTATTGGAAAGCGTTAGTTTGACTTTAGTTACATTTGAATGGATATTCTTCTTTTTATAAGATTTTCTGTGTAGCTCAAATATCTCAAAGTTGTTATAGAATCGCCAAAAGTGGCACAGATTTGCGAAAGTGGTTTCACTAGCAACAACTCCTAAGAACATGCCAAGATCACCAAAAGAACGCCAAATTATAAGAATGGCCATACCCAATTTACCAGCCTCGACTTCACCTTAGGGGCTTTGTGAGTTCGCCCTCAAAACGTCCACTTGAGGACTTGCTCAGAATTTAGAGATTTGTCCAGCCGAGGCGCACTTGCGCCTCGGCTCAATCACATGTGCGCATTTTTCTCAATTTTTCCTATTTTCACGCATCACCGTGGCATTACTAGGACTTCTGGAACATTAAAATGCGTGAACAAACATTTTTATGTCATTTGCGAGCAAAAATCGGAGAAAAAATGTCACAATTGATAAACGTATAAAGTCATTATAAAAGCGTCCAAACATGAACTAACAGCGCAGTGCTGCCATCTCTCTTAAAGAAACCTTCAAATCAGAGCAAGGCATTTTTTAAGCTATTCCCTCATATCAGAGTTAAGATTCTCAATTGAACCAACCTTGAATGCGGCTGGCAGAAAAATACACGAAGCGCACAATAAATCACTAATAGAGTGAAAAAATTAGGCTAAAAATATGACACTGGCACAAGCAAAAGGGTTAAAAATCGCCCTCACGAAAATCGTGGAAAAAACACTCGCGTTATTCAATTTGCTGACGCACTCTCATATTTCAATATTATGTCCATTGAAAAAAATTTACTTTTGCATAAATCCCGAACAAATCAATGCGAAAATCACAAAAAACCTCGGAGAAAAACTTGCACTTTGCACACGCGAAGGAATCGAGAGCTCGAAGCAAGCGAAAGAGTGATAAAAAGTGTGGCTGTGTGTTAGCGAACGCGCGACCGCTTTGTTTTACACTCTCTCGCACGGCGCTTGTGCACTGAGCGTGCAGCGAGACAGCAAAAAACTAAGCGACGCGCGTTCGCTCACACACAGCCACACTTTTTATCACTCTTTCACTCGCTTCTTTCGACATGATAATTCCCGTTCAGCGCAATGGGAATTTATTCTTTCATGCAAATGATTTTTTGCACCCATTTTTTGAGGAGATTTGGAGCCTGCTCTAACTAATGCACACATAAAAGTCTCACATCCGCTAACGCACACAAAAATTACCATCTGGAAAATGGTGTGTAGGAAAGTATAATTTAAAAATAAATAATATAAAAAATATAGCTATATGTATATGTATGAAGCGCTGCTTACGGGAACAGTTGGATTGTTGATGGAATGTGGAAACAGAAAAAGGAAAGAGAGACAGGGACAGCGAGAAGAAGCCAACAAAGCCAGAAAAGCCAACAAGAGAAAGAGGGAAGAAAAAAAAGAACAGCAGAAGACGGAAAGGTGAGAAAGGACTCTCAAAACGCAGAGCATGTGACATAAAATACGGAAGCAATACGAATAATCCATGTGACGAATCGGAAGGACACCGCACATCGCAGCGACAGGGGGCAAAGCGGGAGGACAAGACCGGGCAGCAGGGAAAAAACGGTCCCACACACCCCAGCGCAGAGAGAAACCCGCGGCCATGCAGCCGGGCAGTCAGGCGCGGCAGATGAACCCCTCGCTTTATTGGATTAGGAGGGAAGGTTCGAAGACTTAGGGCATCGCGAATGTAGAATTTTATTGTACCCAACCCCAGGCTACATCTTCAGACCGATAGCGATGGAAAACGCCACGATCGCTCTGGCCTTTCTGGTGCGGATCGCTGAAGGAGAGAACTCGCGCTCTCCCAGGAATTTAATTATCTGCTGCATAAGCGCTGGACATCGGCAAAGAACGTGGATATTGTCCTCAATGTATTCCAGACAGTATCGGCAGGTGTCACTCGATACCAGTTCCAGTTGGTGCTTAAGTGGAATAAAAAAAGTGGAATGCATAATGAGTCCGTTCAATGGCCTGAATGCTGTTGACGCCACACCTCACATCTAATCTAAACTAATCTACTTCCATTATCTGGTGAAACACAGCTTTACATCGTTATGAGACATGATAAATTTTGCAATAAAGTTTTTCTATATGTCGATAGAAGACCAGTTTTCGACTTGAAAAAAATTAAATAATATTACTTGTTGGATAAATGTACCATTTAATCCAGTAAAATTGATTTATTTACCCTTAAACAGAATACTTTCTAACAATCCGAGTAGTAGACTGATAAATTTATAAAATAGAATAGAATATAATAATTTTTTGCTTATAAAAACATGCTTTTGTGAACATAGATTGCGTTCACCGATGTCTGAGTGTTGACGATTATCCTCGATAGCAAAACTGTGGTTAAGCTCTTTCTCAGATTATACAATCTATATTTGCCTAGATAGATAGATAGATAGATAGATATACAATAATTTCTTCATTTCTAAGTACTGGGGAGCGGAAATTTGCGGTTGGTGGCCTTTATCTTCCCCAAGTTCTGCAGACTTTACGATTTCGTGTAGGTTCCTCCAATCGTTCTGATGTTAATATTACTAAAATAGACAATTTCGGATAACTTCTTTATATTTCTAAATACTTGACTGTCGTATAAGCAGTTTGAGCTTAATGTGACATATGCCACTGCAACTTGAAAGCGATTTCGTTACGATTGCGCAGGCAGTCAGAAGCGCATGCGTGAGTTTTTGTGCTGTGCCGGAATACTGAATGGTGGCGTGTCTGCTTTATCTTCTCTTAGCTCTCCATAAATTATCTTCTGGGTCCGTAATTGTCGAGTCAATAGATAAGAAATAGAATACAAACATTCTGGTTGTTGGCGATTGAAACAATTAACTAATGATAAAAGCGGGAAGTGAAGTTGAGTTCTCACAGATAAGTGTTCCTTAATCATCTGGTGAAATCTTGAGGAAAAAAGCTCAGATACAATTTCATACACTACCATACCATCAGCGTGATATAGGTATATATGACTTTGACAAGAAAATAGTAATGTAAGCATAGTGTTGAGTCCTTCTAGAGCTAATCAAATTTAACTACAAAAAAAATCAAATCTCCAGCAACGAGATCGCAACCAGCAAAGTGGGTCATTGCCATAACTATGAGAAAATCCAATTAGATATGCGAAAATAAAAACAACCAATTGTTAAGCCATTTCGAATTAGAATAATGTGCTTATTTGATCAAACTGTAACATCTAAAAAACAAGGAAACCCAATGATAATAAGTGACTCTAATCTCTTTCTCTCAAATAATCAGAGAGAGAGAGAGATATCTTGTTGGTGTACACTATGTGCATGATTTCTGGGAAAAGGAGGAGAAAGCAAAACATGTAATAAGCGAACGTTTATGCTCAGCTGGGCGCCACCAACTCGAAATGTGGCCAACTCTACCAATCCTATTTAATCTAAAAATTTCAAACCGCCATAACTCAGGATCTATAGCAGTGACGAAAAAGTGTAACCCCATTTTGGAAACGTCTCCAACTCATCTATTAAAGTATCGAAAAATTACTTTCAAAATAGAATAACCTTGGAACAAAATTATTCATTTTAAAATTTTAAAAATATTATTTTTGACATTAGCGTTTCTGGCGATGGTCTGATAAACTTGTGTTGTATTAATTAGTTGTAGAATTTTGCAAGAGCTTTCCAACGTACCCAAAATTATTCAGATCGGATAAATAGAACCAAAGTTATTGCGTATTTGATATGAAAACTTTAAAACGTCATAACTCTGTTTCTATTGCATCGGTGAAAACACTAGGACCAATTTTTAGTGACGACCTGACCTGGACTTTAACATACTAAAATCTTATTAAAATACAATCTAGTTGCCGAGATACAGGTACGCACAGATTTTTTTTCAAGTAACAGTTCGTTGGAAAGGTCTCGACCTCAGCTACAACATATTGAAATTTAAAGAAAAATTATGATTTCATTTTCGAGGTATTCGTCTTTGAAATTTCGAAAATGGTGTTTCCGACTTTAGCGCCTTTAGCGGTGGTCTTACCAAGTTATGGTGTACAGGTTGGAGATTGCATTTTACGAGATCGTTCCATTGAATACAAAATCATTCCAATCGGTAAAATAGAAGCAGAGCTATGGCCATTTTATTTTCGAAAATTGAAACTCCTATATATAGAGTCCGGAAGGTCCTAGATCCTTAAGTGGCGATTCATTGGAGAGGTCTTTAGGTCATCTATAGCATACCAGAATTTGAGCCAGATCCATGCCATAGCACCTGAACAATTGAGGAAAGTATATTTAGGGGGTGTTCAAAATGGCGGACGGAGGGGTGGGAGTTGGATTTGACATCACCAAGTTCAGCGGCAATAGGATTTTTGGCCTTTGGTGAAAACCGTATGCCCATATCTCTTACCGTTTAGGCGCTACGAGTATATTTACGAGGGACCGACCGACGGACGGCACCCAAAAAAAGTAACCCCACTCAATTTCATCATGTTTCGTGATGTTAAGTCTCCCTGATGTCATTTTGATGTATTTTGTGAGTTTTTTTGCGCGAATATAAGGATCAGCGGGCTTTGCCCAGCTGGAATGTGACTAAGGCTAGTAACAGCGTTTTAATCAGGGTTTTAATAGAAACCTTTCCATTCGCCATAACTCGGGTTCTATGGCAGTGACAAAAAACTATAACCACATTTTGGAAGCGTCTTGAACTGGACTATTAAATAATTTTCTTTTTTTTCTTTAATAAAATGACCTTTAAAAATGGGGGTCATTTTTTATTGTTTCTATTCGTCGATCCCTTGTAAATATACTCGTAGCGCCTAAACGGTAAGAGATATCGACATGTGGTTTCCACCAAAGCTCAAAAATCCCACTGCCGCTAGAACTTGGTGATGTCAAATCCAACTCCCACCCCTCCGTTCGCCATTTTGAACACCCACAAAATACACTCAATTGTTCAGGTGCTATTGCATGGATCTGGCTCAAATTCTGGTATGCTATAGATGACCTAAAGACCTCTCCAATCAATCGCCACTTAAGGATCTAGGATCTTCTGGACCCTAGCTATAAGAGTTCAAATTTAAAAATTAAATTGACCATAGCTCTGCTTCCTTTTTACCGATTGTAATTATTTTTCTCCATTGCTGATTGGAATGCCATCTCCCACCTGAACACCATAACTTGGTAGGACCACCACTAGGAGCATTTAAAACAAAAAACCATTTTCTAAATTCCTAAATCGAATAACTCTAAAAATATGTTATGCGTTCTTTTTTTAAATCTTAATATGTTATAGCTGAGGTCGAGACCTTTGCAACGATATTCTACTTGTGGGCCTGATGTTTCAAAAGCGGGAGATATGGAAGGTCTATAGTATCAGTATCAAGGATTATACCAAATTTCAAGTTTTTTTGCGCGATTAGAAGTACAACTGTGCATATTCTAATAATTCAAGTTGTACTCATTATTACTTATTGGGTCACGGCTCTTCTATTTTAATAATTTTAGTCCCATAATAAAATACAAATACGTTTTGAAATTTATACTCAAATCAATGTGATCAACTAATTCTTAGTAAACGTAGTGAGATAATTCCCTACCTCTCTTATTGGATCAATTTTTTAGGTTCTCCAAAGCCCATATTTTCATATAATAGATGGTGTTAGTGTATGTGTATAGTGTGATCTCGTTGCAGATGAAACACTTTCATTATATCTTTATCGGACCATTTTACCATTGTTAATACCAGAACTAAAAGTTCAATTTTTCCGTAGATTTTTATCTTCAGCTTTATTAAAATGGCTGTGTGGCATACGCAATAATCTCAGATATTTTTAGTCGTTCGTTTTTTTTATGATTGGCGCAAAGAACGAAGTTATTTTTTTCACTCTATTTTTGAATAAAAAAAATTCCAAATCATTAATCTCCGAAAAATCAGAGCCAAATATGAGCCTCTTTATGCCGTGTCGGCTTTAATATAAATGCAGCATTTATATTAAAGCTAGTCTGACATGGACTAAAAAGTCGGCTCAAACTGCGCGGTGGCGCATGCGTGTGGGCTGTCAAATTCTCACACACATCCTCACTGAACGTCATTCGCAACTGCGCGTCAGGTTGCGACATGATTCTATTTCAGTTTAAGCGCGTGTGTCCCGGTATCAACGCCATGGACTAAAATAAAGCCGAATATTGTTAAATGCTACATTAATGATAAATCCAGCATTTAACTTGGCCCGGCATAAAGAGGCTCTATGTTGCAATCTGAAAACTGACAGTTAGTAATTTGAATGCATTTCAAAGATTTTCACTGTGAAAAAGTGAGCCGTAGCGCCAAGATTGTCCTTCTCAACTAAGAAAATCATATCTGAATGTGTATTTTAATTGTCTGGACTTTATAATCTCGCTTTTGGAATAAAATTATTTAATGTATTACTTATCAAAATTGTGACAATTATATATTTTTTAATTTTTTAAAACTTGGTTGGTGGTAATATATATTTTACCTGTCTGTAACCGGTGAGTAATATATCCAAAGTCAATTTGAATATTGATAGTAACTTAATCGATAGTAAATTTTTTAATCTATGAAATTGTTATGCAGTTATATTGTTAAATTCAAATTTTGCAATATCCGAATGCTGAAATATACTATTACAATTATATAAAATATAAAATTTGTAAATTTTGGTGCAGCACAACGCTTTTTACAGATTCTAAAGATATGGCACAACCTCTTGTGTGTAAGTCAAAGTCTTCAGGTAGTATGGCTCATCTACTTGAACGACATATTTCGCGCAGACTTTCGAAAAGTCGGACACGTGTAGTAGAACCTACAGTATCCCAGGTTCATTGGAGTCGACTGGTAAACTTACATATTCAAACAATATGTAAAGCAAATTTTCTGTAAATGTATTCACTTTCAGGGTAATTGTATATGGTCATCTGATGAAGGTCGCAATCTGCAACTACAAGAAGTTAACCTACATGAACTAACGTCCACTGAACGCAGGATGTTACAACGAGTAGCAATAAGAAAACTACATGACCTAAATTTCGGGATGCCTTTAACATTAGAAGAGGTTGGGGTTCCGAGCGCCAAAGAAAATTCCAAGCGTCGAATACAACTGATAAAGCGTAAATCTCTAACAACAAGCTTTTTCGACTCTGGGAAAAAGAAAGACGCGCACGCCACTATATTTGGTGTTGCACTTGAGAATTGCCTGCTAAATGAGGTACCTTTAATATACGAGGAAAAACATAACCCATTAATAATATTGGTATGAATGGTTTTTTTAGAGTTTCGAATTGATACAATTATTGAAGTTTAATAAATGAGCAGATCGAAAATGAGTGAATTTAGTTGCAAATCAAGTACCATATTTGTTGCATGATCCTACAGTAATAAAAATTTGACAGTTTTTGCTTGTTATGATGGTTTTAATGATTCCAATTTATCATTGTGTAACAAAACCTGTTCCTTTTACTTTTAAAGTCTTTAATGCTTTGCAAAACTATAAATATGTGCTGTTTTGAAGTGAAATAACCATTATCTTAATAAAAAAGTATAACATCTTCCTCACCTCATGTCTACTTTCTAACTTAACTTTACCATATATATATATATATGGTATATATATATATATATATATTTATATTATATATATATAATATTATATATATATATATATTTATATATATATATATATATAAGGTAAGTAGGTATATATACGGTAATACGGGTATATATAAGGTAAATATAAGGTATATATATATATACCTTATATTCACTTAATCAGATTTTTCTGATTTTTCTGAAACCCTTATAAAGTCGAAATAACAAATAAAAATCAACAGGACAATTATCCTGAAGATACCTTGGATTCATTTAAACCCTATTGAGAACTCAAAACAAACATAAGTGTAAAAAAATTAAAAAGTTACTTAAGTGGCTCTATTTAATTTGAATAGCCGTTTATGCATAGTTTTGGTTTTAGTATCACAAATCGGTTAAGGATTAGGCCGAATCCTTTCAGACTCAGCATAATAATTTCTTACTAATGTAGAAAGATTCGTGAAAAACTTCAGACCTCTAGCTTCACGTGAAAATTCGCAGCACATCGTTATGTCTCGGAGCCTCGAGTGGCTCTATTTAATTTGGAGTAACTGCATATATTTATATACTTTTTAGGGAAAATTAAAATCTAATCATATACAATTATATATACATACATATATATTTTTTTAAGGCGAACGTGTTAACTCCGCCTCAGGTTCATTCAGACCCATGCGAAATCTTCCCACCGTTCAACATGATGAAAAGCTGTCGTCATATGAATCAGGATACATCACACCGCGTTCCGTTTGTTGTTCGAGCGTGCTGTGATCATCTCCGTGTTTATGGTTTATCTACTGTTGGTCTTTTTCGTATTTCACCGGCACGCCGTCGCGTACATCAACTCAAGGAAGACTGGCAACAAGGTGGAGTTGTTCTAGGATCATCACACTGTCCTCATGATGTGGCCACATTGCTAAAAGAATTCTTGCGCGACTTACCTGAACCATTATTATGTACTAGATTAGCTACTGCTTTTTTGTCTACGCAACAAATTCGAAACAGGCACTTGCAACTGGAAGCACTAACTTATCTTTTGGCTCTATTGCCACCGCCACATAGTGACACATTACGTGTTCTTCTAAGTTTCCTTGCTGAAGTAGCTGATGCAGCTAATGATGCTCCCGGTAGACCTGGTAACCGTATGAACAGTGCTAATCTTGCCACTGTGTTCGCGCCAAATGTACTACGAATAACACAGGTAAATTCGATTTCCAATCAGTTAATCATCTGAACCAAACAATGAGAATTTTTATATCGTACATACATATAAAAGTTCTTTATTAACTACAATAGTTGTACTACTATTAAAACAAAGCTACATAAAATTCCCAATAATATTCCACTTATTTTCTGAGCAACCCTCTATCGTCAAGTATATTCTTTTAGGAGGTGGGATTTACATCACAGCTACTATATGTTATCGTTCGAGGTTCCCAAAATCATCAAAAGCAAAAACTAAATATGAGGAATTACGTGTTCAGAAGATACCAAATTCAAAATTACATTTTTTTGCCGTCCTTCCGTAGTTTTGGCCGTCCATCTGTCCGTTGATCGTCATAAACGGTCTTCTAGCTCTTGGTAAGCGAGATCGGTATACAGTATGCATTACAGGTTCTACAGGTGTTATGGTTAATCTTATTATGTTGTAGTTGATATCACAACCTAACTAACGAGTCCCTACAAAGTTTCAAGACCCTTTTGGACTTTTTACATATTGTAACGATCTAGGTAACCAATACCCTGAAACTTGAGACTCTCCTGACCAGAGCTAGCGAAGGCGAAGGCATTTCAGTTGACTGAAATAACCGAAAGTAAACGCATCATCTCACTCTTATTTCACGAGTTTATTTAACCCTCAATTACATGCCCTTAGGCACTAAAATTCATTGTTTAGGGCACTACTCCCTGTCTAGGCGGTGCAGTTATACTCATCTGAAGGCGCCGTGTCTCTTTATGCGTAGTTAATATTGATGATCACGAACACCGGCTAGTAAATTCATATTTTTATTACTTAGCGTTTACAGTGGACTTATTAGTACAATATACATATTTTATATTAGCTATTGCCTATCGTGATGCATGTGCGTGTGTACTGCTCGAAGCAAACAATGTGTGATCGGTGTAATCGATGTGGGCGAGCCCCTTCACCATTTGGCTGTATTATTACTGTAGTTTTGGTCTTAGGAATAAGACAGATGGAGTCACAGAAAATCAGCTGTATCGACCAAAGTTCTTCACATCCAAAGATGTGAAGAACGAAAAAGGGGAAAGAATGCGTGGGCCAGAGAGTCAGCATTGCTGACCAAAGGAATATTTAAACTTCCTCACTCAGTGTAGGGATTGCCATAGGTCAGCGCCTTAGACCGTACGGCCGCCGGTTCTAAAAATCAAGAACTCCTTTTTTCGGACGGTGGTCCGATGCCTTCGATGTCACTTGCAGTGGTGTGGCTGCCTATCTGGGACCAAACGGTGCCGTTGGTTGGATCCGCGGCGACTGTTTCATAATCTGGGGTTCTCGTAAGTGCCGAGGTCATTATCTAGGGAGCGGCAGCAACGCCGCATGTCTCATCAGCCCTCAGATATTACCGCTCATGCGCGAATTTGGCCGGGTCGCGGCTTCTGTGACGTACATCAGGTGCGTCTATCGTACTCGTAACGTGCAATATTCGGTGTGAGACGCGGGCTGTAAGCAGTCCGTGAGTAACGCAGCTACCGTCTTAGATGATGGCGCAGCGCGGCGATGACTACTTCAGTGGAGACTCCTCACAACACGGCTGGACTGAACCTCACCCTCCTTATGCAATGCAAAATGGCTCGTTTCTAGGTCGCATCGGAGCATCGACAGAGGACGGAGGGCTTTCCATACTACGTATCCACTTCCACACGAAACCTGACTAGCATTTGCGTAGGCTGGTTATTTCATATTGTTTTTTTTTGGCTAGAAATGGTTAATATGGATGAAAACGGAATGGTTAGAAATATCCTTAACTCAGCTTCACTCAAAGAACGTTTAGGAGGCGAGTTTTTTTTGTGAATTGTCTTGCACTGTGTCCATGTATATTGAAAGGTGGCCGTCAGAACAATTTATGGTTCTAACCATAAGTGATTCTGACTATAGTCGGCAAACTGACAATGTGCCATTGTAAAACAAAAACTTGTCTCGAATATCTCTTAAAAAGGAGAAGGCTGTGTTCCTCAACGGGACGTTAAAGCCACCTAAGTACTGTGTGTTTCAGGCTTTGTATAGTCTTCTTCGTTCTTGTCACCCGTCCATAGAACAGAATATACGATGCCACTTCCATGAGTGCAAACATTTCTTTTTTGGTTTGTATGTAGTCAAATGACAAAGCAAAAGCATTAGAATATGACTTAGAGGCTTAAAATTTATTTATGCAGTAGCTGTCTCACTTTGTCACTCATGTTGGAATGGTGCGGTATATTATTTTCCTTCTCAATATCAACTGTTTCTCTTCTGTCTGGTCACTCCTCGCTGCACTCCAACGAACTGACACTTTTGTCCTCATTTTCTGCACTAAGTGCAATTGAACCTAAATATCTCCATACCTGAAGAAAGAGTAAAATTCCTCCAAAACGTAATACAAAATAAAACAGTGAATTTGAAAGTGGCCATTCCGTCTTTCAAATCAAAAGTTTTCTGTGAAGAGGGATTGCTATGGACCGTACTTGTACTACTCATGTGGGAATCTCTTACGATACTTACGACAGCTGGGATCAATATTACTGAAGTTGAAGAAAAAAAAAGTTTCCTTGGCTCTGAAGCAAGAATATATAAAGATCAATTGCTCTAAAACAAAAGTTATGGGAGACATTATTGGAACGAAATTGTTATTTCTGTATGTCTATCAATGAGCAGGGAAAATCCCAATTCAGAGGCTCCATGATTAAGACATCGGGGAGACAAGTGGTTGGAAACATTTTTTTTTTTAATAACTGTCTTGCTTTGGGTGAAGAAAGCGGAAGACAGGAAGGGTGCAGTTTTAACTGCTTAAACTATCTTTTTATGTTAAAAATGTTTACACAATTTTTTTTTATTTCTATTCCACATTGCCTTCTCTGATGTTGGCTACAACAAAAATTAGAGTAAATCCCGTCTCCTCTACGCTATGTCACATAAAATCACACCGAAATTACACATCCTTATGAATTCTTACATTCTAAAATTTGTGTTCGGATAGCCTAGATTTTAAACAAAAACAAGAAACAGCCATTTATTCTTTGATGATTTATAGTTACAGGAAGATGCAGAAGCTTGCATAAACTCCGTAAACGTTATGCGCACGTTGATCGATCACCAAGGAATTCTGTTCCGTGTAAAAGCATCTATAATGGACCAAGTATATTTACAAATGATGGAAACTCACGGACAAGTTTTAGATCAACATTGTGAGTGGCGGGCAGCAAAGGGTTCTGAGCGGCAACGCATGCCTACATCTTTATCGACATGTAAAGCTGGTGTATTATCAGCAACATTAAATCTCCCTGTGCAGTCCTTACACATGGACGATGACTTCAAAGACATCCCTTTTATTGAAGACAGCAGTGACACGGTAACAGGAAATCTATCACTTGCTGCCAGTCGTTCATTTCAAAACTCTCGCGCTACTTTGATGCTATCTAAAACGGAAGACGTAGTCACTCGGCGCTATAAACGTCGTGAAATCATTTCCAGTGCGGCACACAAGTAATAAGATCTCAGCAACAAAAATGCACAGTTTGTAGTAAAGGTAATATTTTAACATTTAGAGATATACCAAAACGTTATTTTTTAATGCAGAAAAAGAACGGGATAGGTATAATTTAGCTAATAATGAGCTAGGCCCTGCAAACATTTTGAAATATGACAAACTATTTGCATCTAGACGCCATTATATACAAGATATACCGCCATAACTGTTGTCATATTTTTAATAAAATAGGAAAATTCTAATGCGATATCGTTCTAGAACAAGAATAGTGGACTTGTTTTGGTTTTTGTGTCGTGTTGGTGAAAGAATGCGATAATTTACAGACAACAAGACCATATAAAAAAGCGTTGCGTTTTTCTGTGCGGCTAAATTTAAGGCAAAACTTAATTGAAGAAAACTCTCTTCCTAAGCACAAAATTCGGATTAGGTTCAAGTTAGACGCAAAATCCAAGTACCCAGCATTCAGATGGCTGTAGATAGTAAAGTGAATGTAATAATACGAAGAAGCTAGAATTTTGGAGATATTTGAAAATTGTTCAAATTTTTAATATTCCTTAATCTAAACTTTATCCGGAATTAAATCGGACGTGATGAAAATAAATAATAATAATAATTATTTATTATATGTACGCTCGAGTTCTTTACATTCCGGATTCCCCACCAATTAGGGCCTCGAGCGGCGGCTGCCGCCGACATTCATTACAGGAAATGGAAAGGAAGTCTCACCACAAATGTACCCGAAGAAGTAGTGTTTCAGGCAAAGTGGAGAAATAAATCTTGGCTTGTGTAATTTTGTTTTGTGACAATTGATAGTATGTAAACGGACTAATTTTTACTGCTCACATAACAAGGTTTCAAGGAACAACCAAAGAACTCTCCAAAACGTTTCTTTCAACCTTATTTCATATTTCTAAGATTGGTCATTTTTTTAATTGATAGTTTTTTTATCGTTCTGCTCTGGGTTGAACATTTCCGAAATCCGAATATACAGTAGCGAAAATTAGATAAGCACACCTACGAAATTTTGGTCATTTTTCCTAATGGTGCTAAAAATTCGATATTCCTTTCAATTTTTGAGATAACTACCTTAAGACAAAAAATAATGGGAATTTAATGATCTTTCAAATGGCGTTGAGATCATGGCGATATCTCAATTCGGGGCTGAGATATTGCAAAATGCAGAGAGATGTGCGTATAAGGACAGAGAAAATTACGTTTGGACACTGTCTATTTTTCTCTAAATCCTTGTTATAATCATAAAACTGCCTCGAATTGAGATATCGCCATGATCTCAACGCCATTTGAAAGATCATTAAATTCTCATTATTTTTTGTCTTAAAGTTATCTCAAAAATTGAAAGGAATATCGAATTTTTAGCACCATTAGGAAAAATGGCCAAAATTTCATAGGTGTAATAAATTAATTTTAACTATTGTATATATGAAATTTGAAATTATTGAATCCGAATCGTTACTTTTGAATTTTGATAAGAGAATTTTCGAATTTCAGTGTAATGACGCAATCTCCATGTAACAGCTTTATTTTTTTCATACAAAGATCGAACTCATGGGGCAGCAGAGAATATTGTGCCCGGACGACGTAGTGGCAACTTTCGTCGGGCCCCCAACAGTCCTAATCCACGTGGCTGTTCAGAAGTAGGTTGATCAGTAACCAGAAGTTCATCGGCTACAGCTTCATTCAGATCTTCAGGCGAATCGTCTTCGATTTCTAATGGTGATTCTGTAAATAAAGGTCTCTCGCTCTGTGATTTCACTTTAAAAGTTTAATTCTCACCAGACGTGCTAGAATTGAGGCCAAACTGGCGACGAGCGATGAGCGGATTTACCTTCCGGTTGGCGAATACATTTTGAGTAGCACCCTTAGAGCGCTCTGCGGAATGAACGTGGATACGAGGTCGATTTTTCAGTCGATGAATACCGCTTTGACTAGTAGTACTCTCTTGAATGGAAGACACCTACAGTAATAGGAACCTCTTTAATAGTAGAAATGCACATAAATATTTCTATTCTTTTTTTGTATTATGATAAAAAAAAATTATTTCATGGTTTTGCTTTCCTATACATGGACATACAACCCTTAAAATCCTGTGTGATAATCATGATTAGTCAAAATCTAAATCGTTGATTTAGATCAATGCTAGAAAAGTTATGCTTATTTGTGAAAAATCAGTCGGCTAAACAGTTCTGCAATAAAACCGTAATGAATTGGCCAAACTGACCAACTTATTTGCAGAGAATTCTTGTCGACGCATTCTAGTATTAACGCAAATATTAACGGGATGATCAGGCTACTTGAATGAGTAAGTAGTTTTGCATAGATCCAATTTATTTATATTCTTCTTACCGTGCTACTGATAACTATTTTTTCCGTATGATGCGCATCATTATCTTCTTGATTTTCAGATGTTTCGATAGGAAGTGTTGTGGTACGTAACAGAAGACTTTTTCTAGGCGAAAGGAAACGACTAGGCAAGGCAACTCGTGGTTTAGTAGTAGTAGTAGTAGATGACTCTTCGGAGAGAGCTGTAGTAGGCCTTGATCGTGAGCGACTACTAAAAGTGGCCCTTTGACGCGGTGCTTTCGTAGAAGTCTCCCCCGTAAACACTGTTTCCGTGGTATGACGTAAATTGAAGCGATTGCGGGCTGAAATATTATTAAATACTTAATACTTTAAAGTAAAGGAGTTAATGATGAAAAGATTTTCTCTCTCTCTCTCTCTCTTTGCCATGAGTATTGATATTTTCCTTTCTAGTCCTTTTTATATAATTTTTTCTTCTGTAGTCCTCTGTCTACTTTTATGGCCCCTACTCAAGTAGAAGTCATAAAAAAGATTATGGTAACAAATGTGAACTTGTGTACATTCCAATCAGATACACTTTGCTTAAAAGGTACTCGAATGGAATATGTCACGCCAGTTTATGATCTTGGTAGAAATTACACGTCGTATGCACAACCACAAGCAATGAAGATGTTTCATTATATGCATTCATATTTCATTATATGACCTAACTTGCAAAATCTGTGTTGGTATATATAATAAGCGAATTTTTGGAAGAATTGATTTCATCGCAAATATTGGAAAACACCTAGGTCTATTTAACTAAGTCTATCAGATTTAAATTATTGAGTGAGAGAGAATTCAGAATTGCACGGTGGCTGTCTCGAGATGTTAGAGTCGGCCGCTGACAAAGCAGGAAGCAAAATACACGATACGCGTAGGGAAGAAAGAGATATTCGTGGACAAATCACAAGTGCTGTGTTTTTACCATAAATATGCAAACTTACTTCTAATACCACGGGTTCCGAATGACGGTCGTTCAAAAACAGTTGTTGTCGATGGCTCTGTGGTACTAAAAGTTCGACCAAACGAGTTGGCTCGACTAGCAGGAGGCTTTCCAGCTCCATATCGACTCTTGGCAGGAATCACATCTGTTGTGGATGTCGTTGTTACCGGTCGAAGTTTGAAACGGTTTCGTGATGCAGCAGGGCGTGATTCAACAACCACTTCTGTTGTACGTTGTGTAACTGTTGTTGTGGTAGCTTCCGTCGTAGTTTCGGCCTCCGTAGTAACTTCTATTGTTGTTTCATCCTCCTCTGTCGTAGTATTCGTAATTTCAGCAGCCATCATTTCATTCTGTAGGATTACATAAAGATCAAAAGCGACCTTTTCCATTGGATCATCATTGGATGGCGTAGCATACAGATTACGATTATCCGCTGTATTAAATGTGTCGCTATCAACCAAATCAAGGCTGGGATGCTTTACCTACAAAAATTATTTTTACAATAACATTTTTTTAGAATGCATCTATGCAGGAATAATGTAGAACATAACGTTTAAAAATAGAAACAAAAACCTTGAACCTAGAGGTGCTATAGACACTATTTGGTAATGGAAATTATTTTTGTTCTCAAATCAACCGAGTCTTGCCTTTCGTTGAAAACAACATTCATTGGAATACTCCCTGGAACATTGGCATGTTCCATATACATTCCTATACGGGGTTTTACTCAGGGCCCAATGGGTGTTCAACTGTCCAAGAATCATCCAAAAGCAAATACTATTGCTGGACTGTGTTATAATTTGGGGATTAATGTGGAAGTAGATTACAAACTTTTCTAGAAGTCTCAGGCAAAATTTGAAAGTTTTTGGAACTGGTGTACAGATTTGAGGCGTATTATCTCCCCCTCATTTTCAACATCGCGTAGCATCTGGATTTAGAGTGCCACAGAATTTCGGCATCTCCGTGCATCTCGACTGCACCTCGAGTGCAGCATCGAGTGCAAAAATTATTAAGATCGGATAAAAAGAAAAAGTAGTTATAGCGTATGTAAAATAAAAACTTCAAACCATTATAACTCGGGTTAAAAATTATAACCAAGTTTTAGAGGCGTCCTGACCTGGACTACAACATACTAAAGTTTAAAGAAAATTTATGATCAATTTGCCAAGATACAGGCGATCGAAGGTTTTTCAATATGGCGGCATTTGTTATGACGTCACAGACTAATGGTGAATATGGCCTACTGAAGAGCGTCGAGATACATCTTTCGGTGAAGAAATGATCGAAATCGGTTGGTAAACAGCGGAGATATGGGCTGGTAAAGGTGTTAACTTTGACCTTCCATATCTCCGCTCCTAAGAGCGGCTATGGCTCAGTGGTCAATGCGTTTGACTCTCGACGCTACAGTCATGTGCTCAAATCCCACCGATTGCAAAAATGTTTGAACACAGCAGAGTGCAATAAAAAAGCCTTTTAATGGGCAAAAGAGCAACCCAAGCGGATGCTGCTGTTGAATGTTCCAGATGAAACATACGCTTCACTGAAATTGTCTTGCGCTCTGTCTCTGTATATAAGAGATGGTGTTAGAAACCAAAAGTGGGTGGTAGGCAACTGACATTTGCCGCCGTGAAACAAAACACGTCAACAAAGGTGACATCGTCACTGAAAGATCTCCGGGACTAAATATACAGATACCGGGGATGGAAGAGACGAAGCTTCGGAGCATTCTGCTTACCGCGAGAGGCAGTAATGCACCGGTAGACCGTAAAACTCTAGCCACAAAATCTCATTGCGGGCTTCCAGCAACCCAAATGTGATCGACTGATCCCTTAAGGCGGCCACAATAGACCAAAAAATATAGTCGCAGTGGCAGGGAAAGGGGACGAATAGACGACACCCTTCCCCAACCCGCAAAAACTAAATCTAATCTAATCTCCGCTCCTAATGAATTGGGCCCTAAAAGCAACGGTTCGTTGGAAAGGTCTCGACCTCAGCTACAATATATTAAAGATTTAAAGAAAATTTATAATTTCGTTTTCGAGGTATTCGTTTTCGAGGTATTCGTTTTCAAAATTTCGAAAATGGTGTTTCATGGTGTTGTTTATGGTGTTCAGGTTGGAGATTGCATTTTACGATACCGTTCTATTGAATACAAAATCATTCTGATCGGTTAATTATAAGCAGAGCTATGGCCATTTTAATTTTTGAAATTTGAACTCTTATATCTTGGGTCCGGAAGGTCCTAGATCCTTAAGTGGCAGTTCATTGGAAAGGTCTTGAGGCCAGCTATACCATACTAAAATGTGGGCCAGATCCATGTCATAGAGACTGATCAAATGAAGAAAGTGTATTTTTGGGGTGTTCAAAATGGCGGACGGAGGGGTGGGCGGTTGGATTTGACAAAAAAAAAATGTTCATAACCACTTCATACTTTTAACCTTTGCCGCAAACCGCATGTCGATATCTCTTACCGTTTAGGCCCCATAAGCCCAATTGTCACGACGGATAGACCGACGCACGGACGGACGAAATAACAAACAGACACGAAAATAAAAAAAGTGTCCTCCCTAATTTTTGTCATATTTCCACATTTTACCGTTACCTGAGTTGTTTGGAGTTTTTTTTTGCGGGGTTCGATTTTTTGCGCGATTACAGATATTAGTAGTGATGTATATCACAGCTAATAAAACATCTAGGTCTGCTAACGCAGTAATATAGTTTTATATAGTAATATTCAGGCTCCTTACGACTGGAAAATGCCAATTTTTCACTGAACTCACCTTTACAACGGCGATCTCTGAGCTTTTATTAGATTCCCCGTGACGCGGCGGGAATCGTGTGCTAGATGGAAGGCGCTCTTTTTCGCCTTTAGACAGACTGTTACCCATCTCAAACGGTTTGGTAGTACGCTCAATGGTCTGGTAACGATTGCGTGTTGTTGTGCGATTAGCATCCTCATCATCATCATAGTAGTAATACACATACTCATACTCGTAATCTACTCCATTCGGCGCCGTCTTGATCTGAATCCGTGATTTTGGCGTAGTAAGTGGAGCCACCTCAGCTTGTCGTTTGTACTCAATACTTTTAGCCACGTCTTCACCAATCACGGCGCTTAAATGTTCAGATAGTTCAGGTTTTTCATGTGCTGTCAGACTACTAAGATCAGGAGGAGTGGCTGTGGCAATTGTAATTAACAGTACACTCCATATTACGTGCCTGAAATTGACATATGGTTATTCATAAAAAAAATATCACAGATACAGAGAAGATAAAGTAGAAAACCTGCTTGAACAAAACTGTATGATATGTTAAAACATAAAAACGAACTTGATTGAGTTTTCGACCACCGATGAGCATGAAAATGAAAAAAAGATATGCGGTCAAGGAAGCTTGTTTTCATATAAGCTCTTTCACCAACTTACTGACCCTTGTTGGGGTCTGCCCCAGGACCTACACAGTCCGAATTACAGAAAAAAATAATATTGTGAGAACACTTATATTTTAACGGACAGCGTCGTACCCTCTCAAGAACCGCAAAATCTATTCGTCTCTCTCTTTCTCAAAATCATAACTACACACATGCTAGAATGAATCATTATAAGTTTGTGGGCCTAACTATGAAGCATAATTGCGAAAAGTGTTTCTATAAATTTGCAACTATCCTAATGGTGAAAACACAGCATTTGTTATTTGAAAATTGGTCGAGTACGTCATCTGTTCATCTCTCTCTTCACCACTCGTATCGTGTATTTTCCTTCTACGTCAAACTGTAATACTGTCAGCGGGCGACTCTGAATATTGTCGCAAGAAGACAGTATTAGAGTTTGACGTAGAAGGAAAATACACGATACGAGTGGTGAAGAAAGAGATGAACAGATGACGTACTCGACCAATTTTCAAATAACAAATGCTGTGTTTTCACCATAATATACAAAACTGGAAGCTTCAGGCAAAAAACGTATTGTAAATATTGCAAAATGCAAAATTTGTGTGTATATAGTCTATAGTCTTCATCAATGGAATGGAAAATAAATATCTAGTAACAGCAGTTTCAGGAATTAACAATGTATCAGTTTGTTCCTGTAGACTACGTGTTTAATTCTGTTTCAATTGAATTTTTATAAAGTCTGAGATCAGTTATTCTCTAAACTAAAACATCGGTATTAGTTTGTGAATAATCCTACACAATGTAAAAAGCAAGTTTTAACTAACTTGTTTATTTTTCAATGCATTAGTTAATTTCTTTCTCTTTCTGCTGACGTTTTACGAAAATGTCGAAAAATAGCGGATCCTTGTTTCCGGTCAGCTGGGCGTCACCAACTCGAAATGTGACCAACTCGACCAACCCTGTTTTGATAGAAAAATTTCAAACCGCCATAACTCTTGTTCTATAGCACTGACAAAAAAGTATGACCACATTTTGGAAACGTCTCAAACTGTTTTATTGAGGTATTGACTTCTAAATTTTGAAAATACTTAACATTAGCGCCTCTGTCGGTGGTCTGAAAAACTTCTGTTTTTCTAATGAGTTATAGAGTTTTGCAAGAACTTTCCAACAAGCCCAAAATCGTCCCAAAATTGCCTCATGAAAATTCCATTACCAGATTGTTTCGCCAGAGCCTAGAGATTATGTGGAACTATTTTTTATTGAGTAAAGTTTTTGAGTGATGTTTGTTTTTATTTTGGGTGGGCAATAACTATAGACAAACTATGGAAATTTCACTGTTTATCAAAGAAAAAAATTTCAAAAACGATAATTTTTCATAAATTTGCAACAGAATTTAGGACAATCCCTCATAAATATTTGTTCAGATAAGTTATTATTTAAAGAAGTCCATATGACGAAGTGCATAGATCTTCATTTCAGATGTTCATTGATAAGGCGGAAGGTATGGTGGAAATCAGAGAGATCATTCTCAATAAATTAATCTCTACCGCAATAGCAAGCAATTTTTTCCTTCAAATTTCTATAGCCCAAAATTTCTCTATTTGCATTTATAAAATAGTGTTTCACTGTAAAGGTTTTAAATTGGAATGACAAATTTTAATTAAAAAATGAAAGTGAGAATTCTGGCCACAAAAGCAGATTAATGTCGGAAAAGGAAAAACAATTTCTGAATTTAAAGGTTTCAAGAAGTTAAAAGAAATTTAGGGAATAATGCTTTCCGCCTGTTAAGGCCCTAAAAAGATATAGAAACAAGTAATAATCTAAATAACTTTACTAATAATTGTAATTCATTATTACAATTCATACCACAATAATTACACTTAATGTGCTACGTAAACCTGATGAAGAAGACTCCAATTAATTCAATTCAACTTATTATTTATGGCAAAATTTAGGGCCAACCCTCTTACAAATTTACCAAAGAAAACAAGCTAAGTAAGCTAAGAACGAAGGAATTATGAAATAAAAGAAGAAACACAACATACACAATAAATGTGAAAAGAAAAGCAGAAAAAGAGACTAAAAAGTGAAAAAAAAACTTGATAAAGCCTAATGAGAATGATCAGCCTGAAAGAAAATCTTGATACTCCCTACAGTTTCGCGCGCCCCACGCGCTCATAATTAGTCATTATGAGAAAGAAATTTTAGTTATCCAATTGAGTTTTCGTCAATTTTTTTAGTTAATGTTTTGAAAAAAAAAAACCGAACTTCAACTCTATGCTTTTTTATATAAATAAAAATCTCTTGCTTACAATTGTGAATAAATGTGAGGTTTCATATAATGTGAATAACCTGACAAGATATTTCATGAAATGGTAATTTAAAATTCTAATGGTGAAAACACAGCACTTGTAATTTGTCCACGATCATCTATTTCTTCCCCACGTGTATCATGTATTTTCCTTCCTACTCACACAGTGGCTGTCTCGATATGTTAGAGTCGGCCGCTGACAGAGTAGGAAGGAAAATACACGATACGCGTGGAGAAGAAAGAGATATTCGTGGACAAATTACAAATGCTGTGTTTTCACCATAAGTTACTAAATAATTTACGTGCATCTAAAGTATAAACTCATTCGCAAAGTACTATCAGTGAACTTTGAAAAACTTTTTCGTCAATATATTTGTAAGTAATTGTCTCTGTCATGCAAATATTATCACTAATAGTCTTGCAAGAGTTTTGAAATCAACTCAAGTCTCAATGAAATTATTCAAATATGTTCTGACAGATCTAGAAATTACAAGTGAATCACATACTCCCAAGTATACTTACAAAAACATCTGCGATTCATATATAGCCATTATTTTTAGCACTTTCACTTTTGTATCTTATTTCACCTCGTCACACCTTTCAAGAGGCGACCTCACTCTTTGTTACGAAAAGAGAGAATAACTCTAAATCCGTGTCAGACAAGAAACCCGTTGACCTTTCAATGCACACGAGTCCGGAGCGCGTTTTGCTGCAAATGTATTTCACATTGAGAAAAGCGCTTCATGGGACAGGGTGACGTCAGCCAGTATTGACGACACCCTGTACCCATTTGCATCTTTATACTTTCTTTTCGATCACTCGCCCCACCCTCCCCACAAACGCCACACGATAACTTTTCCCGGAAACTGACGCTTCCGCCACTCTCACTGACAGAGCTTCAAGCTCTCATGGTACAAGTGATTCACCTTTCACTCTGTGTTCCAAAATAACTTGTCGACTCGCTTGGAGGGGCTTTAAGTACCCTGAAAAATGCCCCCTTTAGCGCACAAAATGCCATAATCACATACCACGTGGATACAACGGATGGTAAATGCTTAAATGTTCGTTAAGGTATTTTGAGGTTATATCTCAGTTAAGGTAATAAAGAGATTGATGAAATAAATTGGAATACAATATACGGAAATAAGTTCCTTCAGGAACATGTTACCAGCATTACCACATATAATAATAATTAAATTTTCAGTTACTGTTTTTAGCAACATTTATCATCACAATGATGAGGTTGCGGCTCAATTTGTTTAGTAGATCACAGTGTGACAGTTGGAAAATGGAGAGAATCTATGATAAAAGTGGTTTAAGTGAGAAAGAAGAGATTCTTCTACCGTACACTATGTTAAGGAATTGCAATAGATAGATGTTTACAGGGCGGGATGGGGGGAGGTAGATGTCGGCTGATAACCCCTTCCCTGCCACTGCGACTATATTGATCTATCCTATTTGCCGTACACATTTAAGCTGTATATTAAGCCCGAAATGAGATTTGACTTAAGTATCCAGGCTTCATGCGCTTGGAGCACGTATCCACCTAGAAATTTATGGTCTCCGTATCTGTATATTAGTCTCGGAGATCTTTTTCTGCGATATCGTTACCTCCCATTGACAAGTGTTTGTTTTTTAGTTGGCACATTGTCAGTTTGATGACCAACCAACATTGGTTATCAAGTCTATCCTTATATGCGACGCTGGCTGATGAACAATGGAATGGTGATGAGCTCCAAGATTATGCTCATGGACTTTAACTTGGGAAAGGCTGTCGACGATTGGCTTATCACCCACTCGCCATCCTGTCCGCTATTGCCAACAGCAGGGATGAGTCGTTTGTGGTGCAAAGATCCCTGTCCGAGCGCTTTAAGGGGTCGTTGAACTTCTCCGCGCCAACAATCATCAACAATCTGCTGTGAGAGCTTGGGCCTGCCTCGCTCAGCAGAACCGCTGTAAGGGAATGGTTCCCTGCCACGGATCTTGCACAGATTGGTCGGGTATGTGGCTACCGCTATGGATAGCGGCACTGGCGAGCGGTGTCACCACTGCAATCTGCCCCCGTGTTAGAAGGCAGGGTCAATGGGCTCCGAGATGTTGACTTGGCCTCCTGGACCCCTCGTTGCCTGATGTTAAGCCCACTCAGAGCCAAACAGCCTCAATGGCTAGGTTCTCCGCCCCCTCCAGCGTATGTTTTGAGCCACCAGTTCAGCGTCTCTCCCGCACCGTGAGTTCGCGAAATATACAACCAATGAAGGGACTTTTTTGTTGGGCAACTGCAATGTAATTCCCACCTGTTTGAACAGAAGAGCCCAGAAGTCATTTTTCCGGGCCTTGTCTTTTGCCCATAGCAGAGACCACTCTGACCTCTGTTTTGAGAGGTGACAGATCCTCCCGCTCCAGGCATGTGGTCAGGATTATTGACTTGTCTCTGAGAACAAGTACAGAAAAAAGGTTGAAAATTATAAATTTTACGTTAGCACATCTAATGACAGTCAGGTAAGTTTTTGTTATTTTAAGAAGTTACAGAATTTTATAAGAGCTCAAAAAGAAACCAAGTTCATTTAGATTTTATAAATAAAACTAAAGTTCAAGCTAAAGTTACACAGTATTCATAATAATAATATTTCCAACCGAAGCATTTTCCATATCCTTTGTCAAAAAAAATAATTGCTGAATAAATAATAGTTATTTATTTTTTATTGACAAAATGCGTCGTCATCGTTGAGGTAATTGAGGGTGAATTGCACAAATTATTGTCTCAGTTGCCTGGAACCAGAGTGTAAACCTCAGGTGTGGTGAAACAACCATAGGGGTCTACGCGATTCCCGTGTATATATTGTAGGTCTTTCGGGCGTGAGTACCTAGATACAGAAAAGAAACCATATAATTTCAGTCGATATAGTACATTCGAGACTGTAATGATGTGAGTACAGGACTTTTATTTTGACGATACGCGGTTTCCCACTATTGCGGCTCAATAGTCAGAAAAACTGTGCTATGTTCTAGCGTATGAATTTATTCTCATCATCAATTTTTCTATTTTTCTTGGATCACTTTTTAATAGCAAAAAAACTATTTTTTCTTTTATTTATCGTAGACCGGTTTGGACTGTCAAACCAGATGCACGCGGTGAAACTGAGGGGTCAGTTTTTCTATAAAATAAGTGGTTTAAAGTAACTAAGTGAAGTCAAAGTGTTACTTAAATCAGTGCTAAAGACAATACCTTCATTTTGAGTGAAAAAAGACACATCTAAACCATAGTGATTTAGTGGAAAAGTCGAGTTTGAGTCCGTGGGGGCTGACCGCATGGTCAACCTCTACCATGGGTGGCTCTACGACGAGTAGCAGAAAGAGACAGAATGTGAAAAGTGCACCTGATGTGACTGATGGAAAACGCAAAAAAGCAAATTTTGAAGTGCTAAATGATAATGACGATGGTGGAACAGTGTACAGTGATGCTTCCGCGATGACCATTGAAGAAATAGAAGAAGAAAAGCCCAAGAAAGCACCAAGAATGCCGCCAATTGTGGTGAAAAGTAAAATAGCAGACACTAAAAGCTTTTACGCTAATCTGAAAAAGCAAGTGGAGAACATCCACTTCCGCACCTTCAACACAACCAAGCAAATCTTCACATACACAAGTGAAGATTTTGCAAAGATCATCGAATGGCTGAAGTCCAACACGATGGACTACTACACATACACATTAAAGGCAGAGCTTTGCAAGAAACTCGTCTTGAAAGGACTGGACAAGGATCTGGAATATAAAGAGATCCTCGAAAATCTCCAGATGCAGCACAGTGGCATTTGTGACGTGAAGCAGATGCATATCATCCCGAAATACACAAAAAGCTCTCCAACCGAGAGCCCACAGACTGATCTCACACCACAAGCTGGACCATCCACCGCGACAGCTACACATACAAGAGTAAAACGTGTGAAAATTGGAGCATTTGTCGTGTACATCAAAAGAGAGTGCAACACAAGCGATATTATCAAAGACATTCGTCATGTCTTGGACCACGTGATTGCCTGGGAAAGGTACAACAAACGTGAGAATCCTGCCACGTTCTGCGGACGCTGCGCAAGATGGGGACACAGCTCCAGGAACTGCAATATGCCGATAAGGTGTCTGGTATGTAGCCAATCGCATATCGGTAAAACCTGCCTTTGAAAAAAGATGACATCCCAACCTGTGCAAATTGCAGAGGACAGCATGCAGCATCAAACCGAAAATGTCCCTCTTTTGAGGTCCATCGACAGGAGGAATCGACGTAACTCGACAAACTAATGAGGAACAACCCAAGAAACAGCCAGCCAAATCAACCGACAAAATCAACCCGTTCCAACACAAACACCTATATACAACCGAACATCTCCTACTCGGAGATGTTCAACAAATCCCGTGGGATCAATTCAAGCGGTGAGAATTCAACAAACGGTCAAAATTTCATCGAGAAAGAGATATCCGACCTTTTTGGAATCACAACTCTTCAACACGCACAAAAACTAAGATCATTCTTGCCAAAATACCGGCAAATGAATGATAAACTGGACAAGCAAATATCCTTAATAGGATTAATTTGCGAAATTTGTAAATAATGGATTCAGACATAAAAATATTAATTTTCAATACAAATGGCATAAGATATAAACTGAAAGAACTAGAAAAATTTCTGAATGATCAAAACATAGCTATAACTTTTCTTAACGAGACAAATTTAAAACCAAATCGAAAAATACACATAAACGGATATAATATTTATAGAAATGATGATATTCAAAATAGAAAAGGAGGATGTGCTATATGTATTAAAAAAACATTAAGAATAAACGAATAGATTTTCCAGAAAACTGTTTCTCGAATCCAGTAAGAATAAAAATATTCTTAAGAAATGACTGCTTCTCAATTGTGAATATATATCTTAAACCCAATGAGAAAATTAACATTGACGACTTGAAAAAAATACTGAGACTAGGAAATAAAATCATAATAGCAGGCGATTATAACTGTCGAAATAAGAAATGGCTCTGCCGTTCTACAAATAGAAACGCAAAAATACTATAAACTTTTTAAAAGACAATAATGAGAGAATTAAATTGTTTGCTCCCACCACCCCAACATATATACCAAATAGCACCAAAAAACCACATAATATTATTGATTTATTTATAAGTAAAGGAATTTCATTAACAACTTCAATATCTCATATTAATCTAAACTCAGATCATGCACCTGTAACATCAAAAATCAAAATTTGTAATGAAGAATTACATAGGTATTACTTGAAAAAGGCTAATTGGAGAAAATATAGAGAAATCTTAAATAACAATGTAAAACACACAGCCGACTTAAGCACAAAAGAAGCTATAGATAACAATATCACAGAGCTCACACATAAAATAACTGAAGCATTAGACAGTAGTGTACCAAAAATTAAACAATTTGAAGAAAAACTACCAGATTATATACTAAATACTATAACATACAGAAACAGAGTAAGAAGAAAGTTTCAGAAGACAAGAAATATGAAGAGGACAAGAAATTATTAAATAAGATCAATCTAATGATAAGAGAATCAATACGAAATTATACAAATAGTAAATGGGAAAGTAAATTAGAAAAATTTAAACCTTAGGGGGGTGGGAGCACAAAAAAGAATAAAATACAAAATGTAAGACCTGCTGATTCACATATATTTTTATATCAAATTATCTCTAAGCTCATTAAATTAAAAAAAAGAGTAACAAAACAATAGAAACAAATAGATTTTTGGAATATTGTAAATAGTAGAATTAAGCGATAAAACACTGTACATACTAAAAATGAAATAAACTTGTATATATGTCTTTTATTTAAAATTGAGATGTTATTGAACTTTGTATCGGGACTATCGATGGGAAATATATAAAGTATACAAAAACGGCTATTTCTTGATTTTCACACAATCCTTTTTTCAAAAATATATGTCTAGTAAATTATATTGTCTAATGAAATGAAATAAAAAATGCTGATAGTTACATATCGTTTATATTAAAATTTTTGTTTTTGGATATCAGGAGCATAAAACTGTACATTGGAGAGATTTTTTGTCGATTTCCGCGATACTTTGCTGTGTCAAAGGTATGAGGTGTATGAAGAGGGGAAAGATAACGGACGATTAAGGGCTTTTCGATCATACCCCACTTAGCATTAAAATTTGCGCGGTTTGCCTTAAACCGGTTAGCTCAGGCACGCGACAGCTTATAAGAGCAAAAGCAAAGAAAACTGTTAAAGCGTAATTTGCATCCACCGACATCTAAGTGTTGATGATCTACCTCCAGAGTAAAACAGTAAAAAGCCCTTTCATGGGTTGTATAAGATATCTTCCCCAGCTCTTATAAGAATGGAAAAAGAAACAAAGCACTCAAGACGCCAAACAGATTTGAATCAATTGCCGCTTGATATTTCTAGGAAGTTCATTCCAGAGAATCATCCCGTCAACAAACTGCGAGTTTCGGAGAATGTGGCTCCGAAATTATGGGGCTGACGCAAACGAAGTGTGTGAGAAATAAACTCGACAGCGCGTCACTTGAAGAAAAGAGGTAGAGTTTGGTAAGCCTGTCCCAGCACATGAAGATAGTATTAAGATATATGATCAAAAGGCCGGAGATTCAAAATAAATCTAATGCTGTTTGAATGCTGCAAGGAAAAGTCCCCAGAAAGATCCCTTCACTGATAAATGCTGACTCTTTAGATTACGAGGAAATGGAGCATGTGCGTGCACCAGTCTCACTCTGACGAACGATATACACCAAGCATTTCAGACGGATACAGTGAAAATAATCAACTCCTAGACACCTATAATAGGACATTTCCGATCGCATCCCATCTAAGGAGACAGAGACCACCTTCTGACTAGTTCGATTCTAATTAACTGATTGGAATAATTTTACACTTACTGGAATCGTCTCATGAACAGCCATGAACCGTTCAAACATCATCAGTTGATAAAACCACCGCTAGGGGCACTGAAGTCGCAAAAATGATATTCAAAAATTAAAAGCCTATTATCTAAAGAAAAAAAAAAACACTTGTATTGTATAAATAAATGTTATGTAGACTTGTATGTAGATCATTGGGGGTTTACATCCGTATAGGATTAATCAATCCAAATTATTCAAGATAATATTTAAATTTTTGACAATTATTTGTTATTAAATCTTCAATCACGACTGTTTACATTTCTTTCGCTTGCATTTTTATTTTATAGTCAACAATCATCTTAACCATATACCACTAAACTTGGGCCAGCGTGATTTGAAGGCTAATTTTGTTAATATTTTACAACTCACTATTTTGATGATGTCACGTAGTCGGTCCAACTGGTCAGCGTCGGAGCGTGTGGGCAAATAGCGCCCATCACAGCACACCAACACCCCTACAAGCAGAACAAGCACCGTACACTTTGACATCATTTTTGAGCCTTGTCATATTAATAACAGCCCTTTTATGCTTTATGCTGAGTTTGCGCAAATAAAAGCGGCCTGTTGGCGCCACTGACCATTGATCTTAGTAATGAAAACATAGGATTTTGCTTTAAGATTTTGCAGCGCTATATTATCGTTATATTTCATTTGCTTATTTTTGACTGAAAGTTCTCGAGACTTACCGATACAGATTTTCTTTTTTGCACAATTTCTGAGAAAAATTAGTTACAATCGGGTTATTATAGAATAATTAGTTCATATTACTCTTGCTTTCCCTCAAATTTTGTGGAAAAAATGATATTTCATGCATTTCCCAATGATATTTATTAAAAAATGTCGATACTAACCAATATTTCTACACGCTGGATAACTCTTTTATTTTTCGTGGACTTCTTAATCGTATTGACAACCGAGAAACAAAAAGTCAAATGGTATCCATATCATTTTAGAACGATTCGTTTTAATTAACATCATATTTAGACAAGGGGTGGTTAATGTGGGTTTTGAGTGCCACAGCATCTCCGTGCATCTCATCTTTCAATCTCTTTTTTTATTATTTTACTCAAATAATTAATTATTTGATTGATTAGAGAACATTAAGTTTCCTCAAAATTCGCCTTGACTGCATCTCGGACCAAGTGACACTGCATCTCCAACATATTAGTCACCCCTTGTAATTAGATCGCATTCTTTGACTATTGCTTAACTGCGTAGCCCTTAAGGCAGCTAAGATTTTGCATCCAACTTAAAATGAATTTAAATCTTCTGATTATGCAGTGATTTGCTTTGAATTGATTTTTACCTCTAATCGAGTTTGCCATATTCTGAGTTGTTACGGTTCCAACTTATCCTAGTAAGTTAAACAACGCGTTGAACTCAGTTTTTCTATTTTCCAGCATTGTACAGGATTTTTTAAAGATATCGTGACCAAACTGAAGTGGATTGAAGATTTCCACAAAAATGTAAAACCTCAATTAGTACGATTCTATGGGTTCGATACTAAAGCTATAGTTCATTTTGGAAATCACTCGATCTGGATTATTAAATTGTTCGAAAATTTTATTCCTGTAACCAGGTGGGCTTCAGAATTTTATAATGTTGATATAATAATAATAATACTGTAATAATAATATATGGGATCAGACGGAAGAGTTCGTGTTGCCACGTGTAGACAACAAAAGGATACTATCGGCGAACTCTACAAATTGCCGACCAGCACCTGTCAGAATACTTGTGCTATTCACTCTAAATTATTGAGGGAGAATGTCAGCTCTAACGTACGCAATATAACTCAACTTCCCGCCGACGCCGCGCGGTCGTCTCAAAGTGTGAGCCGTGTTTCACGAGGAACAATGAGCTGCTCTCCTCTGTGTTTAGCTGGGCGGCGGAGAACTCCTTGCTGCTTAACCCCAAGAAGTCACAAGCCTTACTCATACGCTCTGGTAGGCAACATCCCACCGCTTTCCCGATTTTCCTCAATGACGAGGCAATTCCCTACGTCCATAGGGCCAGAAATCTTGGAGTTAACTTCAATAATTCTTTGGCGTGGGACGACCACACTTCCTACATCTGTAAAAAGGTGAATTACACTTTTTTCTCGCTTCGAAGACACCATTTCTTTATTCCCCAGGGCGTTCGGCTGTTAGTCCGTCGTGCCCTTCTCCTTCCCGTCTTTTCCTATAGTGCATTATTATTTTTTTTCCTGGGATCAAGTCTCAATGCATCGCCTCATTGTCACTTTCAGCAACTGCGTTAGATTTATTTTCAATCTTCAGCCTTTCGATCATGTGTCCCAGTACTATCACCTTGTAATCTATAGTTAAACGTTTTTGAAATAATTTTTTTTTATTGTCTTGTCAATTCTTAATCTTTGTTTTTCCGCTTTTTTACTTTTCTCATAATTATCAAATTGTAAGAGGGGTAGGCCCTAAGCTTTTGCTCAATAAATTGAATTGAATTGAATTGAATTGTGCTGGGACAGGCTGACCAAACTCTACCTCTTTTCCTCAAGTCGCGCGCGGTTGAATTCATTTCTCGGACGCTTCGCTTACGTCAGCCCCATTATCTGGCTGAACTACTCGCGCCTGGCTCGTCTGTCAGGTCTACGAGTCACGTTGTGCCGACCTCGCAAAGCCGCATCCTCCGAAACTCTCTTTTTGTTGACGGGGTGATTCTCTGGAATTAACTTCCCAGAGATATCAAGCGGCGGTTAATCCAAACCTTTTTGGCGTCCTAACTGCTTTTTTTCTTTTTTTTTCTCATTATGTAAGGGATGGGGAAGAAAGCTTATACAACCTATGAAAGAGCTTTTCCACCGTTTTGCTCTGGAGGTTGGTCATCAACACTTAGACGTCGGTGGACGCAAAGAACGCTCACAAAAGCTTTGTACTTATGTATGGGCGAATTAATAAACATAATAATAATAATAATAAAGTCATTCCGACGAGGGACGACTTGGGTCGCAAATCACAAACTAGATTTGAGCCTTACTTCGGATGTTTTCCGTCCATGAGATGTACCGCCCAATGGGGCATTCTAGCTATATGACATTAGTTTATCCCATTAATTTGTCTACGTTACGATGCAACGCGCGATAAATAGAGAAAATATAAAAAGAACTTCAATCCTCAATACCGCCATTTGTCTAAGTGGCATCAAATCCAACAAACGCTAATTCGTTTTAGACTTCCTTTGGTCGCACGCACATTTCCAACTTCCATTGCGAAACTCTAATCATTATTCATCAATCCCTGTAATGCAAGTGAAATTCCCAGAGAAAATGGTGGACAACTGCTGAGGAATCGTTTACGGTCGCTTTAATGGCGTCGAGAGAATTTCGCGATCAGTTCAAGACAGATATTCTCAAAAAGATCTTTTTCTCAAGGTATTTATTCCTTCAAGAAACAGAAGGCAACTAAAATATTTTCGTTTGGGCTTTTATTCCGATAACTCAAGTTAGGGTCAGAGTAAGGGCCGACGTGACAGGCACTCCGCTGCTGTGTTCGTACAGTAATCTGCCAAGTTGTAATGGTACCTCCTCACGACGGCCTCCGGGTATTGTTTGTCATTAACGCTTCATCCCACATGCACATTTCCGGACAGAGATAACTCTGATACGTTGTATGGGAATATGTGATTCTGTTTCGGCCAAACATTTTTGTAACTATGTGTGTGATGAAACAAAGGCCAAGAAAAGCTCAACTCCTTTCCACTCTGTGACAGAGTGAAAAAGGAGTTGAGCTTTTCTTGGCCTGTATGGGAATAAATCGAGTAGATAGGAAAATTGATCATTCCGCCTATTAAAACACACTAATCACCTACCGTTAAATATACCAACCTAGTGAGGTTAACGTAATCCACTGAAGACACATAATTAACAATTCTGATCTAAATCATCTGTATTTAAAGGTAAATTTGACTTTACAGTAACTTGAAGTACCTTGGTTCAGTAATGAATGAGGTCGATTAGAGGTTGGCGGCGGGTGGTAGGTGCTACTTCTCACTCTTACCAGTGTTCCAGAAACATCGCATGGTTAACTAAGGTCAAGATCTGTAGAACCATCTTATGGCCTGGAAGTGGCATTGGTATTTTTCTCAAGTTGATTGTATTTTATTACCTTCAAATGGCGCGTTCGACCTCTTCCACGGCTGGGCTGCAAGAGCGAGTTATATCTCTCACCCTTTATGTAACCCATTGGACTAAATTTCAGTTTTAAACAAATTTCTCTAAATTTCCTGTTCTAAACTTTCGTGACGCATTGCAACGCGTAACAGGCATCACTTCACCGCACGGAGGAGATAAAATTGCAGATCTTTCAGAGATGGATTCTGAGAAGAATACACTGCCCGATTCAGGCCGCGACTTCAATGGAATTTTGGTTCTGGATGGACCACGAGCTGGAGGAACTTTATAGTGAACGGAAATTGCTGCCGCTATTCGGGTAAGAAATCCAGGATGGTTCGAACACCTTTATCGCATGCTTGACGAGCGAATTCCCAGGAAACAGCCCATGGAGTCGGAACTCTTGCTCGGGACCGAGGAAAAGAGGTCATTTCCGGACAATTTGAATAATCGCAGTAGGTAATATCCTTAAAGTCCTGAAAGTGTTGCGCCGCTGACGGACGTTTATAAGGTTGAATCGCGGAGAAAGGAGAAATATTAAAAATCGGTAAGACAGCCATGGCCCTTATAGGGACGAAGGGCCACTTAAGTGAATAAGTAATTAGACAGCCTAGATGATGCCCAAGTCCAATGTTCCTCTAATTATCTCTCATTTGGGATCTTATTAAAAACAATTGGTCTAAACATCAGCCATAACATTAATTCTGGCGCAAAAATGATCTCATTTCCATTACAATTGGAAGTTTTGAGCCAAACACTGCTTTCTAATTATTACAAAATGTAATATTGGTGTTTATATAGGCTAATTAACTAGAATGGAGAATAGTTATCAAGAATGGTATGATTCTTCCAGAAAGTGGAGAAATGTGTTATGCATTTTTATTCTTTCTGATGATGTATCCGAATCTCTATCAATTTAATTCTCGGAAAGCTCGAGACCAATTTTCTACTAAAATTATATAACGAATATTTGTTAGTAGGTAAAATTTCATAATGTTAAAGGCATATTTGCCGTAATTATTTGAGCATTTATGGAGTAAAACAAAACCGCATATTTATTATTGTTGAGCGAATGTCCCATGAATTCGGAAATATTTGGCAAATAATATCGTATATTATCAGTCAATGTATTTCTACGCTACCTTTATCGAAATTCTCTGCCCAAAGGGAATAAATCTTCTTGCCATGCGCCTGAAAGTTAAATATGCACTCGCATGACTATATGCCACAAAGAATTTTAATTGCTACGGCTTGCTATAAAAGGTCGAAGGTGCGCGATGACAACTTGGAGAAGTTTTACGCAGATATGCCTCTACTGCTGGGCTAAGTGTTTAAGAAATCTCACCCTCAATCTTTCTTCTCTCCATCCAGTCTTGTAGCGTAATTGGGAGCGCACTGAAGTACCAATTCAGGGGTCCCGGTTCGAGACCGGGCAAGACATGTGGTTGGAAAAGATTTTTTTTCGGCCACTGTCTTGTCCGAGATAAGTGAAGAAAGGTTGAGGGTGAGATTTCTTAAACAACTTGGAGATTACGTTTCCCACTTTTTTTGTGAATTGCATCGAGATTGTACAGACTGTTAAATTGTTTAAATTAAAATGTTTCCGATCTTAAATTGTTTCCTGTGGACAATTCAACGCATCCATGACGAATTTACATGAAAAGCGTGTAAAAACGAAAACTACGCGTAACACACTAGTTTTCACTTCCGTAATTTTTGTAAAAAAATCATCCAATTACCATGATATTCACAGTAAAATGTACTAAAATTTTCGATTACTAAGATTTTTGTCTTTATAAAACGATGATGGAAAAATATGTTTCTTTTTTTATTAAATATTTGAGAGGTTTCGCAATTTTTTCATACAAATCTTCGAACATTTGCGTGTTTCACTTGAATATGACGTCGTTCAAACGATTCTCAAAACTGAGCGATTTTACCATTATCTCGTTGAAGAAATATTCTACTAATTTCCACTATCCAATCCATTTTTACAGGTACAAAGCAGCATTTTAAGGTGTTCTTCGGAAGTAAATACTAAATAGTACTTCGTCATTTTATACACTGGTTAATACTTGTAAACATAGTTCTTCAATTTTTATATTATAGAAAAGTTAAGAGCAACTATTCGTAATATGCTGAATTTTAGACTGCAAATGATTTACATAAAAAGGAAAAGTTTAAGTATAGATTAAAAGTAAAAAAAGATCATAGAGATATAGTCATGAACATAAATTCGATTTCTTTTTAGCAATCATAACAACTCATAGGTAATACAAATTTTATTGTGACACATTTGAAGTTGGATAATTCTATAACCACAGTATGAAAAGACGAACATATAAAATAGAATAACAAAAATATCAGAAACATTTCCAAACCAGAGAGTTTGTATAATAAAAAAACCTAGAAAGTAAAGTAGGAATTAAACTGCTAAAAATTGTGTTGTGACTGGGCATTTGAGAATATAAGTCTCACTAATAAAGTTGAATAAAAAACTTTATGATTTTCAGTGAATAGCATCTGGGTCCAATAAACAATGATACAAAAAATAAAACACAGTTAATTGTGACACATCTCTAATCTTATATGTAATCATAATACAACTCCCCCCCTTACCAAAAGTCTATTTCTTAATTAATATATTTTGCGGTTTTCTCTCGCTGGCAATCTTATGCAAAGGCATGTTCAATCTACATACAGAGTTTGCCTTCTTGTTCCATTGTTCTTTTTGGATACACAGCCTTCGCCAAATAACATCATCACTTAATCTGTGTATACGATATACTGGGAATTTGTCTCAATTGTTGGCATTTCCAATTTTACGTATCCAGGTGGAGTGACCACTACATTATGCCGTCCACCAGATCCTATGTTGCGTCTGTAATATGTGAAAATTCTCATTATTTTTATATTTTACATTTATTTACATATACTCCAGAAACATTCTATAATAGTGGAAATAAACCTGAAAGCCCTAGTACTATTGAAAAATGATATGGTGTAGAAGATTTGAGAAAAAACATGACTTGGCATGCATAATTCTAAGGTTTATTAGTTTTTCAAACTATTTGTAGTGAAATTGTCTTGCGCTATGTCTCTGTATATAAGAGATGGTGTTAGAAACCAAAAGTGGGTGGTAGGCAACTGACATTTGCCGCCGTGAAACAAAACACGTCAACAAAGGTGACATCGTCACTGAAAGATCTCCGGGACTAAATATACAGATACCGGGGATGGAAGAGACGAAGCTTCGGAGCATTCTGCTTACCGCGAGAGGCAGTAATGCACCGGTAGACCGTAAAACTCTAGCCACAAAATCTCATTGCGGGCTTCCAGCAACCCAAATGTGATCGACTGATCTCTGAAGAGGGCCACAATAGACCAAAAAATATAGTCGCAGTGGCAGGGAAAGGGGACGAATAGACGACACCCTTCCCCAACCCGCAAAAACTAAATCTAATCTATACAACGGATTAATCTTTAAAAAAATTCCGTCAGTCAAACAAAAAGAACGGCGCGCATACAATTAACAAAGTACCTTCCGATTACTTAATATATTTGAAATAATTTAAGGTTAGGTAACAATATTAGAATAATAATAAAACATATTTAACTATGGATAATCCGCTATATTTTCTATTATATTCAACTAAATACTCACTTGGCTTTAGCATGTGTCAGTATATGTGATTTGAGATTAGTCGATTGGGCAAATTTCTTGTTGCATCCATCAAATGGGCATACATAGGGACGATCACCCGTGTGGATGCGGACGTGGGTTCTGTAAAGCAATAATAAAATAATTATGTGAAATAAAAAACATGCCAGTATGTTACCTGAGGTTAAAGTCCAGAGAGAAACGCTTCCCACATCCGTCAAAAGTACACTGGAAAGGTTTTTCGCCAGTATGGACTAGCTGATGACGTTTTAGCTTGCTACTCTCAACAAAGGCTTTACCACATTCTGCGCAAACATGAACTCGCGGTCCGTGCGTGTGAAGATGTTTTCTCATAGCGCTATTATCCCTAAACATCTTGTTGCAACCCTTATGTGGGCACGCTAAAAGCAATTGTTACACAATCGTCAGTAAACACAATAAACTAAATGCTCTCAATCTAACCTATGGTACGATCTGTTGAGTCCTGCAAGCTTTGGGTTGACTTTTTGAACTTTAACTTATGACCAGCAGGCCGAGCGAACTCTGCCAACTGTTTGGGATCAGAGAGATCGACACCAGGTACACAATCCTGGCTACTGCTTATCTTTTTGCCTGTCATATATTCGGTATAATCAGGGTCGGGTTCTGGAGTTGAATCCTCGTCTGTGTCGGATGCTCCGGATGCCCACATAGTTACACTGAATTCTCCATCCATAGTTTTGATTTGCACTTGCTTCTGTTCCCATCGACGTGATTTCCCCGTACCGAATTGGGGTCCAACTAGTTCTGAAAGATTTAAGAACAATGTATTGCTGTACTCGTTGCTTTTTTTTTATTATTAGGAGCGGGAATTTACTATACAACTATAATTTACGATTGAGCAAAATAACAGATCTTGCAAAATCGAGAAAAATGACGCCCTATCATCATTATCAGGTTTGTAGCATATAAAATGTAACAGATACGATGTTTATATTAACGACATGTGTTTGTTACTAAGAGAAAGAGTTTTCAGATGACTTACAAAGTGTGAAAAATTTACCATTTTCAAAAATTCTAATCTATTTAAAAGGTTTTTTTTTTAATGAAAACATGAAGTATGGAATATTGATTGTAATGTTAATGATTTGATTCATATTTTAAACAAATAATTTACTTTGAACGAAAACATAGATGGGGAAAGATTATGTGTATCCTTGTGCTATATTCAGGACCACATTGTATTACTTAATTACACATATAAATATACTGTATGGCTAAGGGCACGGAGGAGGAACTGAATGTTATATCGCTAAGAAAAAGGGAGTAGATTCAGAAATTAAAGTAATGAACTTCCATACCAATACAAAGAAAAAAAGGAAAGATAATATTGACATAAAAATAATAATAATAAAAGAATGAAAAATAGTAATGATTTTTGACAACCTCATATATTATAAATGAATATATACAAATTACAAATATATTAGGACAATTCAGATTACTAAAAGGATACAAATAAGCGTTACAAGTGTTTGAAAAATTAAATTAGTATAAATAAGAAATTTTTTTGTAGATATTAAATAAAAATTTTCTTTAGTGAAGGAGGGAGATGTAGCATGAGAAAGATACAGTGTAAGAAATATGCGCAATAGGTTATATCTTGGGTAATCTAAAAAGCGCGGATTTATCAACGTAGTATAACTGAAGGAAGATGTGAAGGCGATTTTTTTTTGTGTTAATCAGTCGGATATTGAGATTTGAGAATAAAACACGGAGCGGACTTATTTTGCTTCGCTCGCTTATATTCTTCTAATCGACGTTTCGGAGAAACTTTGTCTCCTTTTTCAGGGATATAGGAATTTAGAGTCAAACAGCTTGATAGGGATCTCACTACTTGGTGCACTCCAATACTCTTTCCCACATTCTCTACACTCAATTGAGTTGAATTTATTTCAGTAATAAACTCAACGTTAGCACGAACAGTTTTATATTCCGCAATTGTAATTAAAGAAACGGCTCTTTTTGTGCAGTCAGCTTTAAATTTGTGAATAACAAATGAACACAAAATTTTTTTAATTGTTAAAAAAAAATTTTTCAATTCACTTAAAAAAAATTCATATATGAAACGGTGAACTTAAATTTTGTCCTTGGTTTTGCCCCTTAATAGTAGTTTGTGAATCACGTATTTATCGTGAATGAAGAAAAACTTTATTTAAAATAGATCAACAAAATTTGAAAATCTGGTATCGATATCTGAATAGAGATCGACAAGAGGTAGGCGCCGGAAAGTATATGTTATTTTGCACTCTTGTCAGTATTCCAGTCCCAAAAAGTCTCATTGTCAACAAAGTTTAAGATCTACAGGATCATCGTGAAGCCAATGTTCGCATATTGCCTGAAAGTAGCACCATTCAACCGCACGGAGGAGATAAAACTGCAGATCTTTCAGAGATGGATTCTGAGAAGAATACACTGCCCGATTCAGGCCGCGACTTCAATGGAATTTTGGTTCTGGATGGACCACGAGCTGGAGGAACTTTATAGTGAACGGAAATTGCTGCCGCTATTCGGGTAAGAAATCCAGGATGGTTCGAACACCTTTATCGCATGCTTGACGAGCGAATTCCCAGGAAACAGCCCATGGAGTCGGAACTCTTGCTCGGGACCGAGGAAAAGAGGTCATTTCCGGACAATTTAAATAATCGCAGTAGGTAATATCCTTAAAGTCCTGAAAGTGTTGCGCCGCTGACGGACGAAAAATCGGTAAGACAGCCATGGCCTTTATAGGGATGCCCTCAAAGAGTGGCCCTTAAAGGACCACTTAAGTAAGTAATAAAGTTTTAAATCAGAGATATATCCAAATCGGTATGAATATTGATCTTTAATTAAAAAAAAAACTGAAATTTCGAGTATTTTAGTGTTCGGAAGAATGCCGTTCATTTCACTCATTCACTTCCCAAAACAACCTTAAAATTTATACATATTTACTATGGGATCGTCTATTTCACTTCTAAACTAATTTGCTCACCTCCATTGCCTACATTTTGAATTGAAGTAATGGAGGTGTTATCCTCCGTCTTCACAGCGCGTCGACGAATGCGAGCAGTGTTCAAAGAGGACGCTGCAGACTGTTCAGTTGAGGTTCCAATATAAATGTCGCTATTAAGACTGGTAACGTCACTGTAGACGCTAAGGTCAGCTGGAGTGTCGATCACCTCCTCATGGCTTTGCAGATCCCCTGCTATCTCATCATTCATATGGTGCATAAGGAGACCCTGGCTGTCTTCTGTCTCACATGTTACTTCCTCGTACTGCTCATCGCCCACACTCACCTCATAATCTTCATAGTGGACACCAATATTATTGAAATCTGCTTCGACAACCTCCACAATATTTGAGTCTGAAATCTCCACTTCGCACATTATATCCTGGCCACTCATTTTCGTTGGCGTCGTGGGAGAGGCAACACACGCTGCCACTCGCTACTTCAAGTACTTTGTTGAATGATTTATGGCGTCACCAAAGGAAAATATATAAAATAATGGTAGATAGACACAAAATTCCTTTTCCATTCGCACTAATGGCTGTATACTCACAATTCTTGTGGAAGGCTGGCGTCTCGAGTACCCAATAAAGCAATATCTTATTTTGAAAATACAAGCAATTGACAAGCAAATGCTGTCATGTACTATATCAGACAAATCTATATTTGTCCCTGGAACCGCACTATTCTACGCGCCACATTATCACATGAATTTATTTTTGATTCGTATTATGTAGCATCCAACATGGAATTGAAGGCTGAACAAGAATATATTTGGTTATGTCTCAATTGAAACATTGAGGCTTTTTATATCGAAAACCGCAGTAATCAAGTTTTATTGATTAAATCGTGATTTATTAGTATCCGTAGCGTTTATATCGAGACACAAGCACTTCGGTCGAATTCGACGGAAAACTAAATCGTTTTTCAACCAAACACCCAATTGCTAATGAGTATGTGTAAGAATTTGAGATGGTGTACCACTTTAATACGACATGGATTACAAATAGACGTCAAGCGAATAATCCCCATTGAAATGTGAATTATTCGCATTATTATTAAAGTCACGATTGCTCTCGATTTAAGTTCGAGCTGTTGCAATATAATGAGCCTCATTCAATAGCAACCATTTGGGAAACAAAAAAGATTAGACATGTCGACAATAAGGACAAATCGTATATCGTGTCCACTGAACTGAATTAAAATGTAAAAACGTAAACACAGCGATTATCGGGGCAGCGGATTGCGCCTTGCGAGATATCGTAAATTCAGACGCTTTTTCAGACTATTACAGGTTCGTTCTTTTGTTCTCAAAAGTGTGAAAATCCTTATGGTGACTCTTGTGTGAGTCTCTATGAGAGCTTACTCATCTCTGCCCCGGTATCGGAAAGTGTATTTAACAGTGATTTTTATACCTACAGGCGTCTGCGCTGCAGCAAGCAAAAGTCTGTCAGCCCATCTGCAGCTATTCAGTGGCTGATGGATGTATTCGCGTGAACATAAGTGATTTTGGTGAATCAATCGCATCCGAGATAAGAGTAAGTTGGAGAATTTAAAAGGAGGGGCGTTATAAATATTTATATTACCCAGCTTACCAAAATTGCGCATTGACGTCAGTGCAGTTTGATATACAATTGACCATGATTGTCCTGGTTGGGCAGAACTCTGAAACGACAGGTGTTTTTTACTCATGTCAAACTTATTCCTAATTCCATTTTCACTAATATCTCTCTGAAATTTTCTTACACAATGGAGCTCATATAAACAAAAATGAAATAATTTCTTTTAAAAATATATAGAATTTAGTGGGGTTATAGGGTTTGGTCACGCAAGTAAGTTCAGCCTAAAAATTTGTCTGCATAACAATCTCTGTAGATCGACGTGCATATATTGAGATAGGCTTTTCTTACTTGAAATTGATGAACAAGAATTCCCTTCGATCGGACGTGCCCATCTGCCCAATTCATAACGGTTCAATGTCAAAACTTTATAAGCGAGGGATTTTTTGCAAATCAACATGACTTTTCTCGGCTTAATTGGAACTTTAGACACAATTTATATCCTCATAAAGCATATTGTGGCTATTAAATTGGATTTTTCTGCTCACCGATAAAGTTAACTTTATTCATATTCTAACGTCAATATTTTGGCTGATTGATGTCTCTACTGGTGTCCGTATATTCTGTTTGAGCTTGCCATCTTATCATCTCGCCACATTGGTGAGATGGAAAGTGCTTCAGGGCACTCTGGCAAGTTCAGAAAAAATTGTTTCGCAACGAAAAATGAGCAAGCATAAGAATAACTTAAGAGAACAGAACTTTTATTTCAAATATGAAATAGAAATTTGGTCACATTTCTAACATTAGTGTTTATTCAGTTTTAGGTTTATTTTCAAAGGTAATATTTTACTGTACTAAAAACTTACTCTGGCTTATTCGATCTTCAACTACTCTCTATGCTCGATACCTGTAAGGCACACCGGGTAACTTAGTATGTAATGAGGATGAAGATTCACAGCACCGACCTAAAATATGAGTTTATTGTTTTATTGATATACGCTATTGTTTGATGAGTGTGTATAATTACACTGCGATGTTGGATGCATTAGATGATATCATACTATTTGAGCATTCATTCTATTTTGTGGTGTTGCATCAACAAGACGCTTTTTCTTACTCTGTGAAGGAAACTTAAACATTATCCAGAAATTTTCTTCTGGACCCCTTAACTTGCTGAGTATTTTTTATTAATTGATTGGGGCTGCCAAACTTATCCGCAGATACTCAACTATGGCAACCATTGACGGTCGTCCGGCCCAATATGGCATCTCATTGAAACAATTACGTGAGTTAATGGAACATCGTGGGCGTGAAGGAATAGCACGCATTGGAGAGTTTGGTGGTATTCAGGATCTTTGTAAGAAACTTTATACAAGTCCCAATGAAGGTTTAAGCGGGTCACGAACTGACACTGAGCACAGGCGTGAGACATTTGGTTCTAATACTATCCCACCGAAACCGCCTAAAACTTTCCTGCAACTTGTGTGGGAAGCGCTACAAGATGTCACACTTATCATACTCGAGGTGGCAGCACTCGTGTCCCTGGGGCTATCATTCTACCAGCCTGCAGATGAAGATCAGGGTGAGTAACTAAAATTCATAGCTACATAGAGACGAATGATGGTTCGGCTACACTTATTTAATTGATTCCGTTTACCCTACACAACACCAAATTAAAAATGAATCTGAGATCAAATATGAAATTAGGTTAAAGGTGAGGTTTCTAACCACTCAGATAGGAGTTAGGGCTCTTCTGCATAAGCTTTCATTAATAGATATTTAATTTTCCATGCGGCGTTCACACTTCATAGAATTCACATACAATTACAGTTAAATGAACTAGCATGGTAAAATTTGGATCAGCGGGACAAGATGGATAGATAGATAGATATTTATTCCCAACACAGTAAATAGACACCCACATTCACGCCATCAGCGAAAGCAGAGGCCAAACATGCAGTAATATCGGTATCTACCATAGGGTACTAGAATTACTCCCATTATTCTTTCAATAAAGGCGAAAAGCGAGGTTTCTCAGAAGCTATTAATTAAATTCACTTTATCAGTCGCGAACAATATTTTATTCATAACGTTATCTACATTTGGTTAATGATGAATTAGAAAGTTTAATAATATTTGATTCATATAACTGCATAGATTAAAATAAATTCAGATCTAAATTAACCCAAAATTTGATTTCCGTGATATATACAGTCTCATTGAGATCTGAGCAGTAAGATAATTTTAATAAATCTAATCTGAGATGTTATGAACATGGACAAATGAAGTTCAAATTTTATTAGGGTTGGCTTCAATGCAGCCAAATCCTTTGCTACCACTCTTCGCTGCGTTCCCTTCTCCTATCGATATTGTACTGATTCACTCCGCGATCACGAGAAGACTGATTTGTGCTCACCTCCGCGCCACCCTCAGTGCTGCCTCTACCGTCTAATGCTAACAGCGAGGATCACGTCAGAAAGAGAAGGCTTCGCCTAATACAGTGATGCTCCCACTAGAAGATCTCCAGAGATACCAATTTGGCGGACTTAGTGTTTGCCGATTGGCATAGGGAATTTGATCTACACAAATATATAACTGTGGTACATATGTGGTACATTTAGTGACAAACTTACATTGAGAATGAATGCTCTAAACCAATTAAAATTAATGATTCACTTATTTAATATGAAGTTAAAAAATACTTTCTTATACAGCTACCGCTGCCATTGCTGACGAAGAAGATCACCACGGATGGATCGAGGGTCTTGCTATTCTAATATCCGTGATCGTGGTGGTGCTTGTAACTGCTTTCAACGATTACTCAAAAGAGCGACAATTTCGCGGCTTGCAGAGTCGTATCGAGGGTGAGCATAAGTTTAGCGTGATTAGGGGCGGCGAGGTGCGTCAAATTAGTGTTGGAGACATCGTAGTCGGTGACATATGTCAGATAAAGTACGGCGATCTCTTACCGGCTGACGGAGTGCTGATTCAAAGCAATGATCTCAAGATAGACGAGTCATCCCTTACTGGCGAATCAGATCACGTTAAGAAAGGCGAAAACTACGATCCGATGGTGCTCAGTGGTACGCATGTTATGGAGGGCAGTGGAAAGATGCTTGTTACAGCTGTGGGAGTTAACTCGCAAGCTGGTATCATCTTTACATTGCTTGGTGCCGCAGTAGATCAACAAGAGGCAGAAATGCGTAAGATGAAGAAAGGTACGTGTATAGTATTCTGCAGATTGTATTAGAAGCTTTTCGTGGTAAAAGATGTACAAAGAGATACCTTTTCAAAACTTTTAAATGAAAGTAATTTGCGGAAACCTTCACTATAATTGTCTATTCCACAGTGAATTTACCAGATTTTTCCTATTCATAAAAAAGTTTTTACCGATTTTTAAAAATTTTATTTCAATTAAACTTACGAATGATTTTTTTCCTTTGGCATGCCTGAACTTTTATTGTCAATTCGTGACGCATCAAAACACAATCCCTTAAATTACAAATGGAATTCACCAAAACGTGGAAATATTTCATGAAATTGTTTTCCATTTCAACCCCACAACAAAACTTATGCACTGGCAGAAGCTAAAAAGCAGCGAAAGAAGAAGAGCTTAACAGGTGATGTAACATTTCTTTTTTGCTACTGAATAATTTTGTTTCATGTTTTTACCATAAATATTTCTAAATCACATTTTTATATATTCGAGTTCCAAAATCATAAGACATTCCGAAAATTATTTATATTTCCACTACAAGTATTAAACTTTGTAATAAACTTAGGGTGTTGGATTCAAAACAAACATAATATATCATTCAGCAATGAAATTTAAACAATTTTTATACGCTGTATTAGATGAATGTAAACTAATACAAATTGAAATGACTTATACTTTTCGAGATTCTATTAAATATGAACTAAATTTGAAAAAAAAATTGTTATTTGTCTATGATTCTATATTTATCGGATCAGTCAAAATTTCTTTATTGTCTTTATATGCATATTAATTTTTCATATCCATTTTTGTTTAATTTTGTAACCTCAAATTATATGAAAAAGGCACTATATTGTGATAACCTGAACTAAAAATTTCAAATGTGATGGGTTCAATAGATTTTTTCTCGTATATTGTTCTGTTTGTTTTTAAGCGCAAGACAGATTAACAAACTTGTCTTCTTTAATTACTGAACAGAAAAGTTAGTATTAGAGATTAGGCTTGAGGTTAACTTTTGTTTATAAAATTGCCTTTTTCAGTGCATTTGGCTTTTCTCAAATTCCCAAGTTTTTGCTTTTTTTTAAATTATCTTATAGAACACTCTTAAGCGTATTGTTTTAAAGAATTGTTTGAAATTATAAGTTTCTCACATATGACTTGTAACAGGTGAAGAAAGCGGCAGTGGCGCCATCACGAGTAACAGTCATATTAGTTCACCTTTACCAGACAAAGCTGATGTGGAGGCAGGCGGCGGATCATCGAATAACCATATGACAACAACCAGTCCTACTGGAGACAGTGGTGGCGGCGGCAGTGGACACAAGAAGGAAAAGAGTGTGTTACAAGCAAAATTAACTAAACTTGCCATCCAGATTGGCTATGCTGGTTCCACGATTGCAGTACTTACAGTAATTATACTAGTGCTGCAATTCTGTATCAACACGTTTGTAATTCACGAGAAACCATGGAAAAACACGTACGCGAACAATCTGGTGAAGCATCTCATCATAGGTGTGACTGTTCTTGTGGTAGCTGTACCAGAGGGTTTACCTCTTGCAGTGACTTTATCACTTGCGTACTCTGTTAAAAAGATGATGAAGGATAATAATTTGGTATGTTGCATATTACAGTCGCTAGAACTATGTATATTTAAAACAGATACTTTCTTGAATTAAAAAAACTAACAATTCAATTTATACAAAACGAAAGTAATGACTAATTTGCGATGAAAATTCTTGTTATCTGTGATATGCGCGAGATCAGGTAAAGCGGTAAATAGATTGATGAGCATTTAAAGAGGACTGATAGATTTCATAAGAGATCGTGATAAAAATTAGTAAGTTTTTTTGCTTACCTAGGAGGGCGTTTTATTGAGGGACAAAGTTTTCTCCAGTAGAAAAGGTATCTAGACAAGTTTTTGTTTTATGATGGCAAATTGTTAGCTTGCCGACCAACCAAAAAGTTGTTCTCAAGTCTACCTTTATATATACACACAGAGTATAAGACAATTCTAGTGAAGCGTATGTTTCAACTAGCGCATACAAGAGGAATCATGTAGACTGCGATTTTTGGCCCTTGAAATGCTTAATTTTTCACTCTTCTGTGTTCGAACATTTTGCTATTGGTATGATTAAAACACACGACTGTCGCATCAAGAGTCAAACGCGTTGACCACTGAGCTACAGTCACCCGAATTTTTTATAATCCTGATTAAAAATTCAGTCCTTAAGACTACAGTTTTATTCATCGAATTTTTTGACAAGTGTTTACAAGTATTTCAAAAGTTATTGGTTGGATATATATTTTATATAAAAGTAGACGAAATATCAAAGTAAAATTTTATACTAAAAATCATGCACTTACGGATCTATGTATTATTTTAGAAATACATGAAAATGAGAATAGAGGTGCTCTATAAAATGGCGCGTTTAACTAAAAGATTGTAAAAAAAAATCTAGTAAGTTTCTTGCAAGAAACTGCGAGTTTGATATTGAGGCGCTCAGATTTTTAATTGATCGTGAATCGTTTTAATCATTTTAATACAATACATTCTAACTGCAGGTGAGACATTTGGATGCTTGCGAGACGATGGGCAATGCAACAGCTATTTGCAGTGATAAAACTGGAACGTTGACCACTAATCGCATGACCGTCGTTCAGTCTTACATTTGCGAAAAGCTCTGCAAAGTTATACCCAAATTTGGTGACTTACCGACACATGTTGGTAACATGATCGTCCAGGGTATATCTGTCAACTCTGCATACACTTCACGAATATTGGTGAGAACTTCGTCTACACAATCAGTTTAAATTAATTAATTATTTTTCTCTTTAATTTTTTTACAGCCCCCAGCAAATGTTGGAGAACTTCCTACACAAGTGGGAAATAAAACCGAATGCGCACTGCTAGGCTTTGTCCAGGGCCTAGGTGTTAACTTTCAAACTATTCGCGATGACATCACAGAAGAAACATTCACGCGTGTGTACACATTCAATTCTGTGCGCAAATCAATGTCAACCGTCATCCCAAGGCCCGGTGGTGGCTTCAGATTGTACACCAAAGGCGCCTCTGAGATTGTATTGAAAAAGTAAGTCCTGTATGCAATCACCATTGTCACACGACTTTCCTTAGCAATGATTGAAATGATTATATACATTTTCCTGAGAAAATAATTCATATTTTTTCTATATTAGATGTGCTTTCATATACGGACATGATGGTGTACTGGAAAAATTCACTCGTGATATGCAGGAGCGGCTATTGCATCAAGTGATTGAACCAATGGCATGTGACGGGTTGCGAACCATCTCAATTGCTTTTCGTGACTTTGTGCCAGGAAAGGCAGCCATAAATGAAGTTCATGTTGATCAGGAGCCCAACTGGGAAGACGAGGAAAATATTGTAAATAATCTCACGTGCTTGTGTGTAGTAGGAATTGAGGATCCGGTTCGTCCTGAAGTTCCAGATGCAATAAGGAAATGTCAAAAAGCTGGCATTACAGTGCGAATGGTCACAGGTGACAACATAAATACAGCGCGAAGCATCGCGACAAAATGTGGCATTTTAAAGCAAAATGATGATTGTCTTATTCTCGAGGGTAAGGAGTTTAATCGCCGCATTCGTGATACAAATGGTGATGTACAACAGCACTTGCTGGACAAGGTAAGGATTTATCCCATATATTTATAATCCAAATTTATGGCTGTGGTACTTTGATTAGTGTGCCCAACTCTGGCCACTTAGGATAAAATTTTTCTCTATAAGTACATGAAAAACAGTCAAAGGTAGCCAATGTAAATATGACCAAACTTTTCTCTTGTAAAGTTTTAAACTGAAAATTTAAATATAGTAATTTCGTATGGTGAAAACACAGCATTTGTAATTTGTCCACGAGCATCTATTTCTTCCTCACGCGTATCGTGTATTTTCCTTCCTACTCTGTCAGCGGCCGACTCTAACATGTCACCATTATTAATTTACCTTGATTCATTCAAGAATTGGCCTTGATGATTGAGAAGCTAAATATTCAATAAATGAGACACTTGAGATGTAGATTTTTGCGAAATAAAAATATTTTCAAAAATAAGAATTCGTAAAATTGCATTGCAAGATTATGATACATAACATTTACGAAAGTGGGGATTTTTTTTATCTTCTGTGAGACCTAAAACGTTTGCATCTAAAGTCAGTTCGTATCTTCCAAAAATAAGTGTAGTAAGTTCCAAATGTAACTTTTCAAGAGAGTGATTTGAACTTTTAAAGTGCTACATTTCAAGTTGGCAAGGATAAAATGTTACAGTTAATCCCAACTCCCCCCTCAGCTCACACGAAATATTTTCACATTCCATTCTTTATACATATGTATTAAGTAATTTTTATAAAGTAACCTAAGAGCCGAGTCTTGAAATTCGGTAAAATCAGAATCACTGGAAATTGACTTGAATTTGAACACTTGGTGTTAAATGATTTCTTTCGAAGCGACGTTAGACAAAGTGTAAAGTTCTGAACTCCACATTATTCCTACCTAGTCCCTGAGAATCCCTCTTTGCAGTGTCGAGGTACCGATAATCCAAATTTAATTATGTCATGCATAATCCTTGCCATAAACATTTTTGAGTTTTGAAAGTTTCTTTCTTTTTAATTGGATGGAATTTCCAAATTATTCGACCTTTGCTTAGTGCTTAACTGTCATGGATCAATGAACTGAACATATGGACATATAAGACAAATCCAAGTGTAATCACAAAATGAACAATTGGACAAAACAATCGATGGAGAAATTTTTGCAAAGGGGGGAAGTCGAGGTTCATTCCCATTTTCTGATTTTGACTCAAGATTCACGAAACTTTCAAAATTGTGATCATGTCAACAAGTTAAAAATCGATGAGGTTTTGTTGATTCTGATTTTGACCATTTCAAGACTCAGCCCTCTGCTTATTCTGATTTTGACTATTTCAAGACTCGGCCCTCTGATTTTTTCATTTCCGATTTCGATACCTGTTAGTATAAGGCCACTATCTACTGTCATGTGTCATTTAACTGTAGCCTTCTTTATTTACAGGTATGGCCAAAATTACGCGTGTTGGCACGCTCTTCCCCCACGGATAAATATACATTAGTTAAAGGCATAATTGACAGCAAAGTGAGTGAGAACAGAGAAGTAGTTGCTGTAACTGGCGATGGCACAAATGATGGCCCAGCACTCAAAAAGGCAGATGTAGGTTTTGCCATGGGCATTGCGGGTACAGATGTTGCCAAAGAGGCATCCGATATCATTCTCACGGATGATAACTTTAGCAGTATCGTGAAGGCAGTAATGTGGGGGCGTAATGTTTATGATAGCATTGCTAAGTTTCTCCAGTTCCAACTCACCGTGAATGTTGTAGCAGTGATTGTTGCCTTTATTGGCGCTTGTGCCGTTCAAGATTCGCCACTCAAAGCTGTCCAGATGCTTTGGGTTAACCTCATAATGGACACTTTAGCTTCATTAGCACTCGCAACGGAACTTCCTACGCCTGATTTACTGTTGCGTAAGCCATATGGACGCACGAAACCACTTATTTCTCGTACAATGATGAAAAATATCCTTGGACAAGCTATCTATCAACTAGGAGTAATCTTCTCTCTTTTGTTTATAGGTGAGTATTATTTTATTTACCTTCTTTTAGCACACTTCAGAGTTATTACTATACTTCTGTTTTCTTATGAAATTGCGAGACTAGTATATTTCTACAATTATACTATACTAATGACACTGAACAGAATTGCACACTGCTTCAGATCATATGATGACAGAGATATGCTAGTGGGCTACAACCTATCCTCCTTTGTGCAAATTCGAGACCCAATTTTCTTGAATCGCTTATGCAATATTTGTTGCCCTGGATATCTGGCTTCCGTCTTGACAAAGAGTGTTCGACTAGACCCCGGGGACTTCTTGTTCCTCGAGCTGAGCATTAGACTTTTTTCCATACCCTCTTCGATAGGGGCGTGTCTTTTTATAATGCGCTTCCGCGCGAGACCGTTGGGCGCATCAAAAAGTTCATTCAGGCTGATCACTCTCCTTAGCCATTTTTAGGTTTCAATCTCATATCTGTAAATACTTTCATTTCTCTTTGCAATTCCTTTGCTTTAAACTGTCGATTCTTAGCTTACCTCGTTGTATTTTCTTTTTTTCTTTTATTTTGGCAAATTTTTAAAAGAGTTGGCCCCAAATTTTGCAGTCAATAATATTTAAATCAAATAAATCTCTTCTTTTTATCATGATTTAAAATTTACATTCTTGTCCAATTTGGATTTATTATTTTTGACTTTCGCATAATATATTTTTAGTTCATTACCAATTTACCCATTTTGGCCAAAAATATCAAAAAGGAAACTACATTTTTATTATTTCTATAATAGTATGAATATTGCACAAGGCACCTTTTCATAACTTGATTGATATTTTGATCGCTGATAAGCAAGAAAATGAATACAAACAGATTTCTGGTCAAGGAAGCTTGTTTCCATATAATAGATAAACAGATGGATAGATATTTATTCATTTCTGTAGCATCACTCCCCACTTCCCATACGTCCATCGACGTCTTAGCGTTCCTTCCATCCTCCGGGGCAAAACGATGGATATGCCCCATCATTGGATGTATAATGTTGTCCCATAAGAACAATACGCATAAAGGAGTGCGTTTGTCTGTGAGTGTGCGGCAGAAAGATATAAAAGTGCGGTCATGCTATAAAAACTGTTTGGCCCACACAAGCAAAAGAAAATCAAAATAAAAGAAATAATGTACACAAGTAAACAACATAAAAAGAAAGATAAATATGTATAGAACAAAGTAGCAAGTCTCGAAATTAAACGTACAGCAAGATGGTGATGATGATTTGGTGGCATCAAAATGGGCAAATGAGTACATACCGCGCCCCTATAATTGTTATAGAGCGCGGACGTGGCTAGAACAATGCAAAAGTGCGATCAGAGGGACACAGAACAAGAACAAAAAGAAAAAAAGAAAGAGAAAAAAATTAAATACTCGCTTGACACAATGGAAAAAAAGATTGAATAAACATAACTCACACAATAGACAAAGGACAGAAGACGGACCACGGCTCCAGGATCAATCTTCCGCAACCATCGACTAAACCCCGACACCGTCAAAGGCTCCAATCTTTTCCACCAACGTTTCGACCTTAACAAGGTACGAAACGTTGGCGGAAGTGTATATATAGAAACAAGCTTCCTTGACCGAAAACCCGCTCTTATTCATTTTCTCACTTTTTTAATCATTTATAATTCAGATTTTCATAACATTTCTTCACTAGGTGATAAATTGCTGGACATTGAATCTGGTAGAGGACAAGAATTGGGTGCCGGTCCCACTCAACACTTCACAGTCATTTTCAATTCCTTCGTTATGATGACCCTCTTCAATGAATTCAATGCACGAAAAATTCACGGTCAGCGAAATGTATTCGAAGGCATTTTTACGAATCCTATCTTCTACATAATTTGGATTGGAACTTGTGTATCCCAGGTTGGTTTAACAGAATTTTACCTTTTATGCGTTTTCTAATTTTATTTTGTTTAGGTGCTGATAATACAATTTGGTAAAATGGCTTTCTCTACGAAGGGGCTCACCCTAGAACAATGGTTATGGTGTCTTTTCTTCGGTGTGGGTACGCTGTTGTGGGGTCAGGTAGTGACCACAGTTCCTACCAGAAAACTACCAAAACTTCTGTCGTAAGTTAGAGTGATAAATATCATAAAATATAATTATAAAATGCATTTTGACCTAAGGTGGGGCCGAGGTCATCCTGAGGAGTATACTGAAGCTATAAATCTTGGTGAAGAAAGATTTGACTCCATAGATTCTGAAAAGAAACCTAGAGCTGGTCAAATACTGTGGATACGTGGGTTAACACGCCTTCAGACTCAGGTGAGTGATTTTAGATTACCTCACATTGTCAGGAAGAAAATGAGAAAAAAACGCTAATAAGGAAGAAAACTAAATAACTCAATCTCAAATAGATTTATACGTTTAATATACAATTTTCGATATATATATATATATAAATGCACACACACATACATGTATGTGTACACACACATACATGTGTGTGTACACACACACATACATGTGTGTGTGTATATATATATATATATATATATATATATATAGAAAAGAATCTGTAGATTAGATGAAGAAGAAAAAATTTATCCTTTACTATAATTAAGAATCAGATTTGTTTACGTTTACTGCAAACTTCTATATTTCCTTTCTCAAGTTAACACCCCACTTTCAGACTTTCATATTCTCTTTTAGTAAAGATTAATATCTTTCCTTTGTTAGTTTTGGTTCTGCAAAATACAGTTTTTAATTCTTTTACGGTTTCGAAAGAATGTGCTGAAGTAAAAATAAAATATGGGTTCTTACATATTGTTGGGAAAGTGTTGGCAAATAGTAGTTCATTTTATTTTCTATTATCTAAGTATATATGTCTTATTAGGTTCTTCTTTACAAGATACTTACACTGCAATCCATCCATTTGGATGAAATGTTTTATCCATATCATACACTCTTCATGTTTACATTTTTTTCCTTCACTTGTTACTCTCATTTACTGTTATATGAATCTACTATCATGAAAAAATGACACAACATCCTTTGCATTTCTTCTAAACTTTTTCGTTTCTTTAATCCATTCTTGTCTACTGATAAAAATGTTTCACGATTTCGCAGCCTAAATGAAGTCAATAAAAAATAATGTGGATATTATGGATTAAGATTCTTTTAAATATAAATACAGCAAACACACAGTTATTAGGCAGTATTTATTGGGCGTATCAGTCCTAGCACACACTTCTATATTCAGATGTGAAATTTTATTGACCGAATGCAAGTTGTACTTTTTGTAACTCATAGAAAAAATATCTAAGGCGTAGATGCGATTTTTTGTAACTTCTTATATAACTTGTCAAAGTTATAAATTCGTACGATTGTGGCACAAGGTTGTGATTTGTAAGTTTTTTGAATTTTTTTTTGGTATTTTGAAACATATTAAACGTTGACACCTAGAGCCAATTCGTATATTTTGTTATATTATGAATAGAAAACCCGTGAAATTTACGCAAAAATCAAGGAAATAAACAGTCATCATGTTTTAAGGTTATCAAAAACATATTAAATGGATGTATATGGCAATTTCTGCGCTTCTCCATGCGCTGAAATGAGGTTTTGTGTTTCCGGACAGCCTCCGACCCATTACACCGAACCTACCTGATTGGCTTCCCAAAACATTTCCAAAACATATAAATATATGTTTTGATTTCATTTATTATTTATGCGTACGTTTGAGGTGATTGAGGCTAGACAAAGTAATTTAACATTGTGTTCCACAGTGAACAATTGGAAGATTTAGCGTATGTAAATAATCGCTGAAATTAAATAAATAGAAAATTGCTGTTTTTAGTGGAATGTTCTTCAAACATTATTACTCCTCCAGGGAAGAATTATAATCATTGCCCACCCAAAAAATTACCAGTTCTCTAGAATACCTATAGTTTGGAAGAAAAGCATTTATTAGGGTATATTTATGCTTTTGATTTTGATTTGGATAAGTAATGATGTATCATCTTTTAATTCTTTTGCTCTAACTTAGACCGCTTAGATCCTGAAGAGCCTGTGTCGAAATTAAAATTTTTGCCCAGTATGTATACTTTTAGCCATATATTTATTCAAAGAAGTTTTACGCAATAATGCCCAAACCGCTGGACTGACTGTTTAGAGATCTTACAATTAATCTTATTTTCCTCATTTTGGCCAAGGCATTGACTGAAAAAATTCTATCCGACCCATCACTGATTTTCAAACCTTTCGAATTTTCCAGAATTTTTATTTTGTGAAAAACAAAGTTCACAGTAGTCTCAGGAAATTGAATGCTAATTTCTAATAATTAGTCTCTTTTTTTTTTAATAAAGCAGTGGTAAGTAGTGTCTAGAGAGCTCATTTCTTGCAATTGAAGTCATGAATTACAATCTCTTTGAAATTAATTTATTGGGATTGAAGGAAGGTGAGAATATTGAACTCGAGGACCATTAACCTCTCAGTGTGTATAGAGGAGCGGATATATCAGGGCAATCTACGCTGTATAGTGAAAGTGTTGCCAATGATGTCACAAGCCGCACAAGCATTGTTCGCAAGCCAGAATCTTCGCTTCACGCTTTCGTGTGTGAAAATTTAATTCACATGCAAGGAACGCAAATAAATTAAATGGTTTTAATACATTTAATAATATTGCCAATTAATTACACCTTTCAAATATTAGGATTTTGTCTTAGACAAAAAAAATTACTTATCATTTAAGAAATACCACTTAGAGAACAGGAACTGGGAAAATTCTTTGCAACTTTTCCTCAAAGAGTTCATCTAAAATTTCTATTCAGGCCAATTGATTACCTATGTATGATCTGGCCGTGAGTATCTGGCAAGAAGTTACCGCAGATATGCAAAAATTAATTTTTATTTCATGAAAGAATTTTAATGTACCTTCCACTTTAATAATGTGCGGACAAGTAAAAAAAAAGTTGGCTGCCACTGGATTATTACCCCTCTTCACTCGTGGCGAGTTTTCATTGGTGGTATAAAAACTGAACAAAAAGACCGACAGTTGGCAGCGTAAATTTGACTGTCGATCGATTGCGCTGTTAATTTCAAGCATGAATTTTTTTCAATTTCCACACAAAATCTACCGTAGAAATGAAGTTAAAAGTATAGTTTATTGTCTGTAAAGAATTGTACAATTAACGAAAAATGAAAGACTCTCGATTAGATTTCCTTTGCCTTTATTTTGAATCATAACTTTTAGTATATTTATACACAAACTGACATTGAAAAAAAACGGTAAAATGAGCTAAAAACTGTTCGAGACCGGGCAAGACAAGTAGTTGGATAATTTTTTCAGCCACTGCCTTGCCCAGACTTATACTTTAGTCCAACAGTAAGTCAATATCCTTTCTCACAACACATCCTTTATTGTTAACCTCTTTGAAAATTAGGTCATAGTCGAATTAATGACTGTCTGATGAGAATATTTCTTCTAACTTTGTCAAATTCATATTGAAAAGTGGATTTGGATCGGATACGCATTTCATTAATCTCACACAGGCATTTGATACATTGGATCACCGGGAGCTTCGGGCTAAACTTGACGAATAATATGCATCGTGTGAGTACTGCCTCAGGGTGCTTGAGTAGACCGACTGTTTGAGCCATTACTCGCTGCCCTCCAATGAACCGGCACTTTTGCCATTATTTTCTGCACTCAGTGCAGTTCAACCCAAATATTTCCATACCTGAAAAAGAAGAAAAATTCCTCAGAAACTTTGTACAGAATAAGAATGAGTGAATTTGTAAGTGGCCATTTTTTCTTTCAAATCAAATCCAACAACTGGTCGATAAACAAACCAATCTAAAGTTTGGGCTGGGCTGCATCGATAACACTCTTCATTAGAGGTCATACCCCATATGTAAGGAAGGAATGCGCTCTATCCGCAGTAACATTGGATCTTGTTTAGAGTGGTCCATTCTTTTTTCGGAAGAATTTATCAGACAAATCGTTCATCAATCTCATATTACACTTTAACATGTATAGACTATTCCCGTGCTGCACCTGGCTGTGTCCGCTGTTGCTGAAATTAACTGAGCAGCTCTCTTCGGTTGACAGCATAATTCAAAATTCATACCATCCGTTCTCGTTTTTATCTACATATGTCGGAGTACACCGATCGTGAAGCAAAATTCGCGCCGATATGTATTTTGGCATCTGCTTCATATCCTTGCGGTTTCAAAATGGTTTTTGGCGCATATTTTTTTTAGCATTTTTGTGAGCTGTTCTCATGTTTCAGGTCGTTCTGCTCTGCTGTCATTGAAGCATTATATATCTCAGCATTATTTTTCTCAGTGTTGTGGCATTACTCCTTCTCTATCGGAATACTTCATTCGCCGCATAATCTTTGGCTATAGCGAAATGTCACTCTGTCAATACTTTGGTCATGGTTGATTTTCCTTATTAATCTTAAAAATGTCCTTATTGGTTGCGCCCTTACAAATCTTCTCAAATTAAGGGCTATCTTTTAAATCTTTTGCCTCTTAGAGATTGATTGCACTCTATACTTCTTCTCGCTCCTTGCGAATGACACCTTGGCCAAGATTGGCAGTCGATTAGTTCCAAGCTCGTTTACTGATATTTACTATCGAACATTATTCGTATCTCAAGTATCAATGTATCACTCATTCCCGCGCGCTAATAGAGTCTCGATCAGTGCAATTGGGCAATGACAGTTTTTAACTAACTATTTTACTTACATGTTCTCATTTATTTCTTATTATTATCACTTAATTTTACTTACAATTTTAATTGCGAGGCAGACCCAAAAATTGACAATATATGATTTATTATTATTATTTCCTTTTTTGGAATGTAAAATACATCACTATGCTTTTCCCGCATACAAATAATGATGAGATTTTTCTATCATATTGTCCTGGAATCTGAAATCAACGCTAAGACGATGACAGATTTAAAAAAAAATTAAGAAAATCTTTAATCGTACCCATGAGATAATAAACAAAACTAAACTTTCAGTTTAAATTTGACGATTGTTCTGACGATTTGTATTTCAGTCCATAATATCTATGTACGTAAGCAGTTTTGCTACATTTTCATAATGTGAAAGACGCCATACACACATAAGCTAAGCTGAGAGAATATTTAGACGGTTTAGACGAGAGTGTTTAGTAATAAAAAATATATATATATATATATATATATATATATATATATATATATATATAACCACAGGTAGTTCCGTACACGTTTGTTTATACATGTTTCATATGCAAAACAAAAATTAAAGCAACTCTTGAAGAGAATAAGAAACTATAACATTTCCTATTCGCAATTTGTTTATTTGTTGAAGGTCAATAAAGTAATATTGCCCTCAAAATGGAGAACAGAAAACAAATTCAAAAGGATTTCACTGCCATGCCGACGCGTATCCATTTTCTGAAACGTGTTCAAGCGATGTGGAACAGCAACTGGGTGTGAATTTTGTGAGCCTGGATTTCCAGTTACATAAAGTAGTGTCACACAAATGTGTTGCACTACTTTATTTTTAGTGTGGAACTGAAATCAGTTCCACACTAAATATGATGCATAAATATTCTTTTATACTATGCTCCTACAACTATTTCGTTTTTCTTTCAACATTCACTCATTGTTCTTTGTCCGAGCTCTAATCCCCGACTTTTGCATGCTTCTTATGATACATTAGACGACATAAAAGGACTTCAGAAACTGTCCTCACTATGTTGTCTTTACTAGTAAAAATTGACATAAATTTATAAAACAAATTATCTTCATTTGATTTTTAACGTAAGTGTTACGTATATTCGAGATCATCGTGTACTTTATGATGATGAATTTTACAATTTTGTGTGAAAATTGCTTTTAAAAGTGAAAATTTCGATATATGAATTTTAGTACTAGTAATAGTCACATACAACTAATGAATTTTACTAATATTATTAATTGTTTGTTTAAATGCGATAACTTCCTTAGATCAAAGCTATTTTTTACTTTTTTATGTATGTAGTTCCACTTTATTTGCCCTAGATTTTATGTTATATTTTATTTTATTTTTGTTTTTTTCTATTTTTTCTTTTTATGTTACGCCCTGAACCTCATATTGGAAATGCCGTGCGCCTCTGTGTCCAAAATAAATAAACGCCTGCCGCAACTAATCCGTTAATGCCTGCCATTCTATCACACGACACGACCTCTACCATTCATCTTTATATATGGATACAATCCTGACAACTTCCCCTACAACACACCAACAATCCTAAAAAAAAATATTTCAACCGCCATCGATGGACATACGACCCGATGAACACCTCGGGTGAACAAATATGTTCTTCTGTTATGTTTTACAGTTGCGCGTTATTCGCGCCTTTAGGTCTACACTGGAGGATTTGGAAGAGCGTCGATCGGTTCACAGTTTGCATAGCTTGCGCAGTTCACGCAGTCCAACCGGCATCATGCATCAACAACCAGGTGGGACGCATCTTCTAGTGCCTCTAAACAACCCCGGGCACCGTGCTGCTAACGGGGTCACTGCTACAGACATTATTTATATAGATGAGGAGCCAAAAGTGCCGTCAAATAATAATTCTCGCGGATTCAATGATGATTTACCTAAACCCGTCACAGAGACGCGCATTTAAAGCCTCTTTGTCTCATTCCCACTTCCTGTCATAAACTTACACTTTACACATCACCATTCCTCTAAAATTGCGTATTAATATGCACTGTAGTGGACCACAACTAATAGTGGTATTACTGTGAATTTGTTCGATATGCAGACTATTGATAAGTTATAGCTTGTATTCGACCCCCAGCACTAGTTAGAATTTGTAGAAGAAACAAAGCAACTGTTTCTCATGGCACCTGACTAGAGTCGGTAGTGACCAAAGATAACCGTCGAAATTGTCCAGTTGCTCTTCTGCCACTAACATTACTACTTCAAGAAACGGTTTCCAACACTTATTCTCAACGCTTATACAGAAATTTGCATCGTTCCAGGCTCGATGATATGCTTTTTTTGAATTTCCTGGGAGGGTAATCATTACATTTTTACAGCCCCTACCCTCGGATTCGCAGGGTAATATAAATGGAGGAAGAAACTGAGATGATTACCCTAAGATACATTCAGAAAAACGTTTCATTATTATTTTAAAGAAGAATTTCATTCCTAGTTCTAAAAACTTTTCGCGTTCATGATTGAATGATTATCGTGTTTACTTCAGTTAGCAATCAGATTTAATTTCTGATCAGAATTTCGAATTTATTTTTGGGTTTAAATACAATTGGGCTATTTTTTTTAAGATTTTTACCCAAACGATATTATTAGTCTTAAATCTCGTTATCTTGACCTCTTCCGACGTTACTTCGTTCCCAATCCGTGAACTTTCCTACGACTTCATTGGTCATATGAAAAATAATAAAACGATTGATTTTACTGTAAATACGCGCAGAATTTGGATAATAATTTCTTTCAATTTGTGGTAAAAGTCAAGAAGTCAGTACACACAAGTAAATTTACAAAAACATACAAAAATAAATGCAATTTTGAAGTTCTACCATTACTCGACATGTCTTGAGTCTCTATAATTAGTTAAACAAACTAATATAATGCCGCATGGCTTGATTACAGGCATACTTTTGATGGTCAAAGAAATAAATTACAAACAAAACTGATTTATCAATGTCAGACTTGTGTCTCGACTTGCAAAAATATTTCTACACCATGCTGAAACCGAATGCTTTCTGGACACTTTAAAATTCATTCAAAATCACATTATCTTGGCGCGATTTGTTTTCATTCTCCAAATGCATTTTAGATGTGAATAAAAACTAGTGCTGGTGGGTCGATTGTATTATTTTATATTTTCAGAATCACTGAAGTGGTAACATTTGTAGTGTAATTAAAATTTTATTCTTACGTTGAAGAAATCACAGATAAAATTTCCATTTACAATTTATTAAAAAGTATTACTTGTGACTCATGATGTTTTCAGTAAGGTTTTTGTATATGGATATCAAGAATGTATATTTTCAACACAATTCAAACAGATATATATTTATATAAACCTATGACGTTTGCTCGGAAAATGAACTACTATGATTTTTTACTTACATTTATTACAAGTTTCCTTTAGAAACATTGCAAAACAGGCGTAGAATATTTCTTTAATATTTCTATTCATATTTTCAAGAAAGAGAACTTGAAAACTGCTTTCTCAGCCATAAACATAATAGGTTCATGAATTTACGTTAGATTTTATTTCTACCTTCATATTCTAAAAAAATATCATTGTGTGCAATAAAATACATCGGCTATTGTATGAAGCAGGTGGAAATGAAACAGCATTGGAAAACGGAGGAGCATTGTATTTAACATTTATCACGTGTAGACGTAAGGGCTTGGCTTCTGCATTTTTTTTTACCAAAAGTCAGATCATAGTACATACTGTCATAAACAGCCACACTAATATTTTTTTTAATAAACGAGATAATTATCAAATACAGTGGTGCCCCGTTGAACAAACCTGCCTCTTCTTCCTCTAGTAGATTTCATTATCGAATCTCGTTAAAATGTTATTGCAAATTAAAACCGTGAATACTTAGAAAGAAATCACAAAATTATGATGAAATGCTAAATCTTTCACATTACTGTTTAAAATGAAATTTGGAAAATTGTTTTAATGATCAATGGTTATTTCAGTTATTTCATTTTTCGCACCGTTTAAAATAATTGTATTAGAGTTTTGTGTAACTTTGAGCATGGATTTAATTGTATAATACACATAACTACAGAGTATATTGAGCTAAAGTTAAAATGTAAGACTACATAAAAAGTTTCTCAATCAACATATTTTTAAATCAAACTCTCCTAAAAAGTTCATATAAGTTATTTTTATGTTTGATAAGACAGCATGTTTTAAAGCGGTGACATTTTTAAAATTGAAACGTGTTTGTGACGACACAAAGCGTAAAGATTTCCATGTACTTATGTTGCAATGCTGACGTTATAACTTTTCTTAATCACATAAGAGAGAGAATAGATAGCATTGTGTCTACTCTTTCTGCTTGTGGTCGAAAACAGACTGCAGGAAAAAATTCTCGATCGTCTAAACAGCTCAATTTCTAACGAAAATGTTGTCAAATTGTAATTACCTTGCATATAAATATGTCCAAACGAAATATTTTAGTCGACGAAATCTTCTATTTTCTGTGCAGTATTTTTGATGATCGACGTATCCGTGATTCCAGAATTATGTAAATAGAACCACTGTGATTAAATTGTGTTTCACAGGGTTATGTTAATATTTATTACATATATTATCAATCTGTTAAAATATTTTCTCAAGTATCACACCCAATAGGGATGTCAAGAGAAGTTCCTTATGATGAAAACAAAGCATTTTGCAGCGAACCATTGATCGAGTTTGTTTCTTTCTTCACCACGCGTATCGTGTATTTCCTTTCTGCTCGCAGAACATAATCTGCAGAAAGACAGAGTCAAATTCTGCAGACTATGTTATACGAGTAGGAAGAAAAATACACGATACGCGTGGTGAAAAAGGAGATGAACCCGATCAATGGTTTTCCGCAAAATGCTGTGTTTACATCATTATTGTCAAATTAAAAAAAAAAGTGGACATTATCAGGCATTCAAATAAAGATCTATTTTATGGAAAATACAGAGGCTTTGAGGATGCCAGAAAAATGTAACTATAATGTACAATTTGGCATATATTATTGTATATTTGTCCGTCAAAGTACCAATTCAATTATATAATACAAATTTCCTCCAAATGACAATTACTTTTTTCATCACACTACTGAAAATTACAATTAGCCTTCGAACCGAAACAAATAAAAGTCAAGGTCAACTAATTTTAGAAAAAAATTTAATGCACGCTAATACATTTTAGGAGTTATTTTTATATTTTATCTCACTTTTCCAGCGAATCACGGTAAAAATTACGTCGGGAGTGGAAAAACGCTGTGAAAAAGTACATTGTGGAAAATAAATCATGTTCATTAAAAATTACCGTAGAGAAGTGGTTGTGAAAAACGTGCGAAATGCAAAGACAATGCGGTCCTGCTGCTACCTGCGTCATTTTTGTTTAGAAAAAAAACCGATTTTTGGCACAAATCACAGTTATCTATCAAATAAATTGCAGTAAAATGGGAAGAAGATGTTTTAATAAAGTTCAGAAGGGAAAACATTACTCAGGAAAGATATAATTTCTTTCAAAAAAAAAATCTGTAAAAGGTTTACACAAACGAAATGGATTCTTTAGTTTTTTTATTCTTAGGTTTTAGTTTAGGCTCTTGAATAAAATTCCATGAGGCAGCCATAAGCTGACCTCGTGGTCACCGCAATTTGGAAAATCATGGCTTTCTTTGGCTGAGATCAAAGCCGAATGAAAGAAGGTCTCGATGGTGACCAAAGACATTGCCTAATCCGGATGGGCTAAAGAGAAAGTTTTCAATCTGCTCTATCAGGGTCTCTTTCTGAGCACCCGTGCTCAGTCTTCGCTGCGTCCCACTGTGGAGGATCGGGGTTATATTCAATAAGATCTTCTCTGATTAGGCATTCAATCTAAACTAATCCCTCTTTTCCACGACACGTGCGAAAATTGATTTTAGGGCAATAGACACAAACATACATTAACATATAAAAATCTGTCGCCGCTTTGCGGATTACTGGGATTAATTGCATAATTAATAATTTGGTTGCAAAGCTAATGTTGTAATGTTTTACTTATTGTTTTGATTTCTAACATTTCATCAATCACCGTATGGAAAGGAAGCAAATCCAAAAATTATTATTTTTTGAAGTTAGCTTAACTATCAAAGATTTCTAAGTCTCTATTTTTTATTTCTGTAATATTATTAAAATTCTAATTATGAGAGTGGAATTTAAGATGATAAATCTGGTAAGTAATTCTTTATATGCTATAAAGATATTTTACTAAGCATTATAGACTAGTGCTCTGTTTTAGGAGAAGTTTTTAAATTATCTTCACGATTTTTTTTAAATTCAGGGTTAATATATAAATAATGTACATGGGCATACCTTGAAATACATACCTTGTAGTAACTGATATCATCAATAAGATATATAAATTAAAGGTAATCTTTCTGGAAGAATTCCAATACAGCTCAACAAAAGTGAAGATAAGGGTCTGATACAACATTTAGTAGAGAATATACATGCCATGAGGTTAGAAAAAAAAAACGAAAGTGCATTCTGAATTATAGGTAATATCACAACCAAATATTGCAATCTAAAGATTATGTATTAAAGCAGTATGTAGTATTTATCTCTTTTCTATTTTTGCCATAATTTTAAGGTAAACTCAATAAAATCACGATCAGATTAGATTTTTTTATGGAAAAAAATTCGTTTAGATGTGAAGGTGATAAAATTAGGTTGGTGACATTATCATGGAAAAGTTACATCATTATCCGCATTTATTTTAGTGCATAAATTGTAATGAAATGAAGTAACACTTTAGATTAAATCATCATGTATAATTTGACTAATTGTTTTGAATTCAACCATATTCTCAGATATTTTTAATATTCTCTCCGTTATCGGCTGGAAGTAGTTTAAACTAAATAGTACGGGCATATTTAGAACTATATAATACAAAGTTTTCCCCAAAAATAGATCGTAATAGACAAAAATAGAAAAAATATAGTTGTTTTAGTTCATATGGACACACAATATATTTTAAATTTAATTTGAAATGACTTGATATCAATCCCTATAATAATGTCAATATAGACGAAATTGTTAATTAATTTGAGTCATACTTCACTTTATTCTCATTGTTTTTCATGCTGAAATAGGCTACAGTATACTCGTCATTGTTTGGCACAAACCTTCGACCGGTGTAAACCTTTGTTGCAAGTATCAACATAATGCAAGACATAAAACTCCTTTCCCTTGAATACTTTCTCCTAAACTTTAGATTTGATAAGGTCGTTTTCCATTTCTCAAAAACTTCCTACTGATCCTTTTACCATGCCATTTTCGTTAGAGGAGCGTCGAGTATCAAAGCTATCTTCGCTGCTGAATACTCCTGCAAACTTTGCAAACTTTTTTTTCGGAATTCTTGCTAAGACTATGAATTAGCTAGCAACTTCTGTAAACCTTAGAATAAGATAATAAAAAAGCAGCCAAGCTATTAAAACCCACGATGGAAAGGCCTTTTTCCCTTATGCAAATTTATTCTTCTTATAACGTTTCGGATGTGTAAATAGCAAAATATCCATCCATAAAATTTATTTAGTCAATAACTCCAATGGACGTAAAATACACCAACCAAAACTAATTTTCATATATAAGAAGATACTCTTTAAATTTATCAGCAAATATTATTTAAATTTATACACTTTTATTTATCTTTATGATTATATAAGTTGAAAGTGAATTTCCGAAATGTATTATATATATATATATAATAATAATATATATATATATATATATATATATATAATATATATATATAATATATATTATATATATATATATATCCTGGCCGTTGGCCTTGAAACTGCTTGAGTTCTCGAGGCCACGACAAGAAATTTCTTACTTTCTTTTTAAACTGTTAAGTGATCGTTAGTAAATGTGAGGTAATCTAAAAACATGATAAATTCACTTAGATTTCATGAAGTCCTGTTTTAAGATTGAGGATTACATGCCAGCTCACATAATTGGATGTTGTGAAGCCAATATACGGCCGCTTTTTACTACTTCTCTCTCTTTTTTTCTTTTTGTCATCTCTTCAACACCAGGTTATAGGTGGTGAGTTGCAAGAGCGATTGATTCCGGTGCCCTACAGCAAAAGCTCCACTGATCAAGCTGTAAGCATTGAATAAATGTCACCGGTCGCCGTGGTGTCAATTAACACCTGGCGACCACTGTAAGTCAATTCATCTTCGAATTTCCAAATTAAATTTGATTTATTTGGGGCTTGAAATAATGCTTTTAACATATAGATTTGAGCTTATAATTTCTCTCTGTTTGAATTACTAAAACAGCATATAATAGTTTTGCAAACTATAATTCATTGTCTGTATAAATAGTAGATCAAACATACTCGGTGCATAGGAATTACGTCTGAGGTCGCTGAGAAAAGAAAGAAATATAATTTTTTAATTGCTTTCTGTAAATCAAATGAGTGTAATTTAATATCGGCCATTGTATAATATTATTTTATATATATATATATATATATATATATATATATATATAATGTAGAATAGAATATATATTTATTTCGCTGAAGCTATTATGAGCCAAGATTGCGTCCACCGACGTCTAACCGTAGACTCAATATATGTAGATTCAATATAATTTTTTGAGTCTACCACAAACGTGGAATCACAGTTTTTGTTTGTGAATCTCACGAACAGCATAAAAACTATTTTATTGCTCACTTCCTTCCTGGTTTGCCATTATTACAGTAGCTTTCGACGAAAATATGATTGGATCAATAATTTTTATTAGAAAAAAAATATCAGTTTTGTAAGCTACATTACATTCATCAATTATTCAAATACAATCACTTATTCTTATGACACACATTGCCTTTCGCAAGGTGTCACAATTTTGACTACTATTAAAAGTGTGTAAAAATTACACTCTTATTCTGTGGAACTTTTTATTTTTGGGCTTCATCCTTTTCAGAAATATCTTACTCCAAGTCTTTAATCTTCGAGTTCTCCTACAAGAGCTTATTTTCCGCCTCACATTTTAGCCCTTATCTCGAGCATGTGTAAAGATAGAACATTCTAATCGACTCCATATTTTAGGACATGATAATTGGTAACGTCACAAGAATTTTGGTGAAAACATATCGATTCTGCCGCTATATTCCATTAAATATAAATTACCTGAATAATAGTACTCTAACATATTTGTGACAATACTAGTTATCATGTGTCAATAGATGCAGCCAATAGGATTGTGTTCAGTAAACTGTACTTGTGCCACAAAACATTCTGACATATCAGACTATTTCTTGTTGGTTAGAAAAAGGCATTTGTGCTTCACTTTGTGAAAATGTGCAAGTTTTTTAAGCACACAAATTTACATAAATATTATAAAACGTAAAAACTATAATGTTGGAATATTTTTTTCAATATGTAGGGCACTATTTTGGATATATTTCCTCGATACATGCCCAAGCGAAATTTCATTTCCGTTCACCCTAAGGTTTACCCCATAAACAGAATTTTTTCGATTAGTTTTTTTCATTATTGCTGTATAGAAAAAGTCACGTGCACCAGCAAAAATACGACCAAAGGCGATTTTTTTCTGTTATTTTATATATTATCCAATCTATGACCGGGCAAGAAACATGTAATACTTCCGATGCAATTTCCCAAGTGCGGATTTGGCTCAATAACGAGGTATTCGTTACCTTTTTCGAAATTTTTTCTTCAAATAATTCTTTTGATTCATTTCAAAGGACAGAATGGCTAAATGCTATTTACTGATTTATTGTCCGTACGATGATTCGAGGTCCTTTTCTCAGTCTTGAGGTATGAAATTATGTGATTTTTTTTTTGTACAAATTAAATTAAAAATCTATTGTTTACCAATCTAAACCACAGATTTTAGTCAGTACTAAACTGCGACAAATTATGGCGTGCCAATACTCGAGTGAGAGTATAACTTGCCTCAGACCACCCACCAAACCATTAAGACGTGAACCCTCTAATCTCGTGAAAAGAAGTGAAGAAGTTTTTTTTTCCCTTGCTTTTACCTTACTCCTTTTTCGCGCGCATTACCCCGGGTCAAATGTGAGGATTTTGCGTGGATCTGTTGTGTTATGGTTGAGGTGTAGTGAGAAACAGGCGAAAGATCGCAGAGGAATTGCTAGGTGCATGACCACGTCCAATCGAGACAATCCCATCACTCTTCAGATTAGATATTCCGACTGAATGACTCCTTGCAGCCATATCTAACCCATTTACATCTTCCAAAGGTAACACAAAAGGTCTTGACTGTCCTGAGTCAGTCACGAATTATCAAAGATATTGGGCGGTATTCTGACACCAAGATAAAGTCCAAGATATCAAATCTATTCACATTTAAAGATTTGGTATTCTGAACTGTGCTACATTCTTGGTCGGATTTAGTGCATCTGCTAATTTCCCCTTTAAGTATTGGTCGAAGGGATATTCTGTGAAATGCTCGCGCGGCTCAAGTGTAAATAAAGTCATGGTGAATATAAAGCCGTTTTGTAAACTCTGTGTCGTCAATTCTAAGGTCATCTGCATCGCCTGATCTCACACGAATGGGAGAAAATGCATTTCCGCACAATTCACCAAATTTATTCAGGTATTTTGGTAAGTTTGCCTAACAACATAACTTCAAAACTAAGTTTTTTATACTTCTTCGTCAAGATTCTTCCGAAATCTGGCTATTTGGACTCTTTTGTTTATCTTGTCTCTATTCATCATTCTGCCGCTTCACACTACATCGCATTTGCCAGAATCTTCTGAGCTCAAACAACAGCAGAGTATCCTCAACTACATCCCGACCAAGGAACAGCGGTACAAACTCTCAGCAGCGGACATGATACTGCTGGAGATTAAAGAAGTCTGCGATCATGTGTATGGATAGGAATCATCGCAAATCTACCACGCATTGTCGTAGTACAAGCGTCACGACATTGTGATGGCGTTAAACAAGAAAGGCAAGGAAGCTTTGTCACTGAAGGACTCATTTCGCGAAGATTACGCTGGCTAGATTCTCTCCCAGGAGTTCTTGCTGAGAAATCGTCCGGACAAAGAGAACTTGGAGATCTTAACGATAGTGGTTGGCGTATATTCAGTCATTTATTGATCATCCTTTTGTACATAAGTAGAGTGACGCGCCATTACCCATAGGGGCTGTTTTGGCGCCGTATCAGTGAGGCGCATATCATGACAGCGCTAGCTGCCGTATTGCGGCCTGCTTCTTGTCTGGACTTCCTCTGGAGGAGTCCCAAGTAGCCAGTTCCTGATCGAAGTCCTGCTGAGGGCAACACCTTCGCGGACCATATTATTAATGACGGTCGATGCAGTATAGTTCACCGATCTCTTGAAGCGCTCTAAGAACGGCCTGGGAACCATCAGGAGCTCTCTTCCCCTCATCTCCGGCGAGGGGCAGAAGAATCCACAGTCAGGCCTCAGACCGGCCTGGGCGCCCAAAAAGGCACCCACAATCCTGGACACAAATAGGTATCCCAGGGACAAGATCTCCCATTCCTGGTACAGTGGCCAGGAGTGGGCCTTCCGGCCAGCGCGCCATCACCCTTACGATGGTCTTCTGGGATCTTGTCAGCGGGGACAGATGAGTCTCGCAAGCATTGCCCCCGATCAGAAGGCCGTAGCTGAGTCTCGACTCCGCCAAAGCGAAGTAGATAACCCGCATCAGATGCTCCGAGCATAACGCTCTCAGAGAGTACATCTGGCGGGCAATGCAGCGCAGGCCACTGGTTATACGGCTAATATGCCCCTTCCATGTCAGCTCCGAGTCCAAGGTGACACCCAGGTATTTGAAGGCCGGAACGCAATCTATGGGCAAGGCAAGCATCAGCAGCGCGAGCGCAACGCGAGGAGTGCCACACCTCGTCACCGCTACCACTGGGCCTCCCTCCGAAGTCCATGCGCACGGTCTTCGAACTTAGGACCATACCGTTGGTCTCAGGCCAGCTCCTGATCGCAGAAAAGTAAGCATTCATTTGCAGCTCAACATCTTCCCACGTGGCATGAGAATAGACTAGGGTAGCCTCATTCTCGTGAGGAACAACAACAGCCTTACTGGACAACCTAGGCTGAACCTGATCACAATTGTGACTAATCAGACACCATCCTGAGATGGTAAACATTGTGTTTCCCTTCAATCTTACTTGTATTTTGATACAACTCCCTCCCGCTTTAGATTCTCTGGTATACTTGGCGGAAACTGGCCGCGCCAGATGATAGCACGGTGTATTTGAAGAGCCTCCTGCAGAGTCAATAGTGTCTTGGAATACTCGTAGACGAGGAAGAGCACCGCTGTGGCAGGAATCTTGCGGATGACGGACGACAGTAATCCGTTGTACAGTGCCAAAAAACTCTCCGTGCGATAAATCTGCAAGCCAACTTGCATCATGCTTGTTCTCAGGCTCGCTACCTAAATGTGGCTCTTAATTACGTCCGCCGGGAAGATCACTGTCCACAGCACAACTCTGCCAAACGCGCCCACTGCTATGGTTCTTAGTGGCTCAGTATCGTCCTTACACTGGCCGGGCTTCATCATGAGCTGCCCTGAACCCTCGTAGCCCCCGAAGAAGAAGTAGCCGAGCATTTCGCGGGCCAAGGTGAACA